AAATGATCTTAATTCATATAAATTAACGAATTGTAATTTTTAATCATAATTATTTATATGTTCTATACTTCTAATAGTTAGGTTAGATAATTTCATTTTTTTCATCGATCAAGATTTAATATTCATGTGAAATAATTTAAAAAAAAATCGGATGCATTATTATGATATTAAAGAGTTTATTCTTAAAATCTCTTGAGAAAAAAAAAAAACTCAAACAAAACTTAATATACAAACATATATATTCATATTATAAAAAATTACTTATATGTTCTATACATACATTTTTATTATTTCTTCAATGAAAAATGATGAGCGAGTTAATTAGAATTGAATATTAATGAAATATGTTCTTAGGTTATTTTTAAGGTTAATCTAACAACAATATTAAATAGGGGATCCTAATTTGATGACTTTAAGTTATATATAATCTTTTTAACATAAAGTTCATTTTTTTTTAATGATGTAACATTGAGAAAACAAATTAAAATGTAGAGTGTAATGGTTTTATTATATGGATTATAAATCTAATTCTAGATCTTGGGTTTTTTTTTTTTTTAATTTTGCCAATCAATCTTGGGGTTAATATAAGTTTTTGTAAGGAAGTGAATTAATGATTTAGTTAGGGGGCCAATAAACTACTAGTGGACTATGTATATTTCATGTGAACTTTAAATCACCTCAAGTTAATTATAAAAATAAATTTTAAAAAAATCATAGCTTAAAAATGCTAATGAAAGATTAAAGGTCATATCCATCTAGCTATAAAGAAAAGACCCAACAAGGTGGGAAATGTATTATGTGATGAAGCAAGTTGCTTAATGATTAATTGATACTTTAATGCCATGACAAATCCTTGACAATTTTGGTTGCCATCCAGCTAAATACAGCAATGTTTTGATTGAACATTTTTTAGCCCATGTGGTCAAGTCTTTCTTTCAAAGTCACTGGCTTCATCAAACTCCTTAACCCATTCAAGGAATTTGGATTCAAATGCAACTAGTATAAATTATATATTTGGTGGTTGGGTTAGCCTCCAATTTAGGAATTGAAGGTTGCTGTTGATGTGATAATTGAAAGCATGAAGTGGGAAAAATTAAAAAAGAAAGGGACAACTTATCGGCCATGTTAACTAGATTGATATCTTCATAAAATTGACAGTTTAAATCTTATCATCTTATCGATATTTATTAAAAAGTAATAATTTAAAAAATAACGATAGAGGTTAATTTATTTTATTATTGAAATTAATAATTTTAATGTTCAAAAACATAAATGACAATCAATAAATAGCTACATAATGAAATAACATTTTATTACCACATTGCTGTTTGAAAAAAATATATTATATATAACAAGATAGATTATGTTTCATTTGGAAGCGTCAAAAAATTTTTATTGTATCATGGGTGACGTTTTATAGTTGAATTTTTTAAAATTTAATCATAAAGCGATACTTATAATATGACATGATAAAAATTCATTCATCACGATATAAATTTATTCATCACGTATCTAAATGAATCTTTACTTATTAAACAGATAAGGTTTCACACGTATATTTGATGATCGAAATGAAATAAGTTTAATATTTATGATATTTGCAAGATCATATGAAAGGAATAAATTATTTATTTGGAAACCAAAGAGTTGAGAAATCGACTTGGTTCAGCCAATAACATGATTTATGATGGGATTTAGAGGGGGGGGGGGGTCTCAAACACACTTGGACTCAATTTCATTGAGCAAAGCTGGCCCAGTGCCTAGAGGAATCAAACTCCGCCTCTTTACTTTAGTCTTGCTTGCAACGAAGATGACATGAACATAATTCCAAACTGTCCAATCGAGGCTCGAGAGATTAATTAATAAAGCAAAATTGAAAAACAGGTTTTGATTTTCAATTTACTTTAAGCAAATCAACAAATAAATGCTAAAATATTAAAAGAGTTTCTAAATTTAATTATTTTATTTAAATAAATGTTTATATTTTGATTGTATCAAAATAAATACTTGTTCTTTTATTTGTATTAAATATACTTTTATTTCAAACAAATGAATGAATTATGTTAAAAATTAATTTAAATATAAAGTAAATATTAAAAATTTATTTACGTAAAATAAAAATACAAAAATTATCTAAATAAATAAAATTATAAAATTAAGTGACTTTTTATTATTTTAACCATTAAAAAAGGCTAAAAATAGGACACCTTAGTGGAGTTGCACTTCATGCAAAACTGACCTGAAGCAACTATAAACCAAAGTGGAATATGTGAACAAATCATCGAACACTTGAATACCCATTACTTTGTGGATGAAGAGCTCCTTTATTGGAGAAACGAAATCCACGTGGCTTTGAAATCCAAATATTAACATTTTTTAGTTCATAAAGTTGACAAGTTGGTGATCATTTCCAAACTTAGTGGATGATAGTGAGAGCTTAAACAAAGGGTTTTTTTTTTCAAAGTGGAAGTACTTCAAGTCTTAGTTATATAGTAGTATTGTGAAAGGATCCCACATGGGTTTTTTAGAAAAAGATGGAAAAACTATTGTTAAGTTTTATATTATGGTAACTAATGTGGAGGCCATCAAACAAGCAGCAATTTCACACCTAATAAATCAATAATTAATATGGATCAAATTTTCAATACCACAATTTGCTTTTTAATTAAATATGTGCTAATGTGCATAATATTAATTTGTTGACTTTTATTACATTAATTGCTAAAATTCTTAGTGCTTTTTTTTTTCCAGTATTTAGTGTTTATTATTTAATTTCTTATTTATTTTTTATAAAATAGATCGTAATTTGAAAAAAAAAAGATTATAAATATTGGGATTGAAATGAAAAATTTATAAGTATTTTAATACTTGCAATTGGAGATATAAACCTACATTTGACAATACTAAAAATGATTCAGACAAAAAAAAAACATGTTATGTTTCATTCCCTTTTATCATGACTGTATTATCTTGTTTTAAATTTACAATTTAAGCTTTTTTTTTTATTTATTTGTATCGTATTCATTGTCTTTGAAGATTTTATGCTTTGTATTTTTTTTTTCTCTTTTTGTTTGCATATGTTTCCAAACAATCATGTTCCCAAGTGTAGGGATTTTTCGTACACTTTTGTGTATGCATGGGTATATATATTTTTTGATTATTTTTCTTTCTTTTCATTTGTGTGATTGTGGACATGTATTTGGCTATGGTCCACGGACGATAAAGTTTGTGATACCAATCGAAGCGATTTTCTAAAGCTTACTCATAAATTCCATCTAAATTTTCACAGTTAATGAATAAAAAAAAAGAAAATAATAAAAATCTTCCATGATATTCTTAGCAAGTTTATGAACAATAAAGCCCTAGCCCCCCACACCATAAAAGAAACAAAACATTTACTATTATTTTCTTGTGTCATTTCCCTCAAATTTTTTTAATAAAAACAAGTCATTCACGTTCAATTTAAAATAGTAATATAGCAAAAGATATCTCACATTAAGCCTATTTTGTTGGACCAACAATTGTAAACATTTCTTTACTAAAATAAATAAATAAATATTTGACTTAGTTATGAAAATTTGAAAAAAAAAATTCACAAGAATATTCCTTCCCATATTATAATTAATGGTATAAAGAGGAGGCTTTGACTATAATATAAATGATATTATAGTCTAAAGATAAGAGAAGAGATGCAGAGATGTCATTTTTAAAGATAATTAATTAGATTAAAATTCAGATTTATCTATAATGTAGGTTTTAATTTGGTTTTTTTTTTAATCTAAAATATGTTTTCCGTATAAGTGGGAAAGCTGGCATTACATTTATAACTCAGACGAGGGGGTCTAATAAGATGATGATGGTTGCTTATAAAAAAGAAAAAAGAATAGAAATTGAAAAACCTTGTAAAATGGTGTTTAAAATTGTTGAAATATCAGTTGCCGTGTGAATCTTTAGGACGTAGATATTGCAAATCTAGGTGACTAGCTGTCACTTGTGGTTCTTGGAGGAACACTCAAAGGGCAAGCAAGTCCTAGTTCCATTTTTTAATGGTTTGCTTTCTAGCCGTCTCTTTCTACTTTAAAGTGGCTGATTTGGTGGCCTCGTATGATTGTGGGCGACATGTTTACAATTCACAACTCAATTTGCTTTAGAAGTAGAGGCGAGAAAAAAAAAAATTTAAAACAATAGTGTTTGATTATATTTGAATTGATTTTTTTTAATATGAATTAATTTAAATATTAAATATAAATATTAGGTTTAGATCAAATTTTAAATAAAAATAAAAATTAAATCGAATCGAATTATATATTTTTATTAATTTATATATATTTTTTAAATTTTTAAAAAATAAAAATAATTATTTTATATTTAAATTTATTTAAATATATTAAAAATTATATTAAAAATATATAAAAAGCAAAAAATTTAAATTTTTTTCATATTGTATAAAAATTTAGGTCAAATTCAGATTCAGATTAAATTTTAAAAATTCATAAATTTATGTATTTTTTTTAAAATTAAACCAAATTGATTTGAATAAATATAGTATAGCTCAATTCTAGGTTCCAACCATGTAATCTTCATTTTAGCCTGTTATAGGCGATAACGATTCGAATCAAATTCAGTTTGAATTTTTTAAATATTACATAATATTATAAAATTTTAAAATTTGATCTGAATGATAATTGAATTATACCAGTTTGGTTCGATTCTATTTACATATTTTTAAATTTTTATATATTTTTTTAACATATTTAAGTATATTTGATATAAAATTATTATTTTTATTTTATAAAAATTTAAAATATATAAAAATTAAAAAAATATATAATTCAATTTGATTCAATTTTTTTTTATTTTTTACATTTTGATCCGAAATTTAATTCAAATATAATATATACATTTAATATCTAAATTTGATTTAAATCAAATAAAAAAATTGATCTGAACTAACTCGAATATTACGATTTCAGTTTTCTCAAATTTTTATCTTCCTCCTAGCCAGTTCTTGCGTCAAATGGCACTCAATCTTTGAGCCCCTCTTAGGTTTAATGGATGCTTGTTCCTAAGACTGTCATAAGGAGTTGGGCCGCGATTTTGAGGAATTGGGTAGAAATAGAATACAAGAATTAATGCACCTTGGGCCCTCTTGAATGGAGGTTTGGATCTTAATCCAGGGATATTTTGAGGAGTGTAAGTTCTGTATTTTCCATTTTTTTTCTTCCAAAATGTTGGTACTTCTTTATATACAACAATTTTGTAAAATTATACATGAAATTCTAGACCAAGAAGCATATATTCTCTGGGATTTTCTGATGGAACACTTCGGCCATTAGTCGAGAAAACCCTACCCATATAAATGGTTCAAAAGAGGATCTGATGGATCAAACAGGCTACATATCTATGATTCCGATCAGTTTACAATCTCAGAGAGACAGATGAAGCACATGGGTCAATGAAGCAGGCAAGCAAGTAGATCAATTCTTGGAGACAATGAAACCCAGTTCCAACTCACTCCTTTTTTGAAATAGCTACCTTTTTCTTAAATCTCAAGCATTTGTTGTTTTTAGATTCTGTAATGCTGGGGTTAGAAGTAAGTTGCTTAGCTGGTTTGGTAATGGAAATCTTCTCCATGGCATTTATGAATTTGCGTAGATGCTTAATGTACTCCGGATAAGTTTCCAGGTTGCAATGGCCGCCACCCTTGACCCATAAAGGATCATACTTTTCCTTAGAAAGTTCCCATAATCTCTTCCCATGAGACCAATCAACAATGTCATCATTCGTGCCCTGCAAGCATCGATCAGATCAACAAATATGCATCAAATAATGCCTGTGAATGAATTAAAACAACTTTAGTTCATATGCAAGTGAACATTCAGGATATAGCAAATGATACTTACATGTATAACAAGTACCGGACAGTTGACCCTACGGATTTTGTCTATATTCTGTAAATATTTGGAAAGAGTTTTAATTCATCAGTTCATAACCTAATCATTTTAAGCTTGCAGCAGAATATAGATGATTACAGCAAGGCTAAAATCAAGCTTACTTTGAAGATATCAAACCAAAATGTCATCTTGACAGGATATAAGACCCGTATGCCTGAAAGTATGGCACTATGAAGAACAACTCCTCTTAGTTTGTGTAAATTAGAAGCCAAGTGCAGAGTCGGTCCACTTCCAACAGATTGGCCATACACGATCAACTCTTCCTGCTTTATCCCATATTCCTTCTTCAAACAATTGTACGCTGCCTCTATGTCATAATATGTGTTGAGCTCAGTTGGCTATTGCAATTGCAGAAAAAGTAACTTATCAGGTATAAAATTAGTCAGAGTTAATCCAGACTGTTGTAGACCCTCAAAACAAAGAGAAATACAAGAAAATACGAATGGAAACAATCTCACAGATCCTTTTACCTTCCCAGATGATGCCCCATATCCTGAATAATCATAACTGCAAAAAGAAACAATAAGATATAAATTAAATAATAGAGGAAGTTTCTTGGTCAGTATAATCACATCCCAGACACATCTGGCAGGTTCTGCCATTGGAAAACCATGTTAGCTATGATTTGGATAAGTAGCTCTTCAGCCTTTTACATACAATTCAAAAGATAACTTGACATCATGAAACATCATTAACAATAAAAAAGGCATCTGCGAATTGATGCACCAGGACAAATGGAGTTGAAGCCATTTCATGAAAGCTCTTTGAAAAAGAAGGATAAAATATGAGAGCTAAGCTGAAACCATTAAATGATACAGGCTTGTGTTCAAACACGAATAAAATTACAAATTAATCATATTTGTTTTTTACTTTTTCTTTTTAATTATTTTCAGACGCTCTAATTCCAGGGAGGAAGAAAAAAGAAAGTTATAGCCGGCTGAACTGAAATTCAAGGAATGATGGGCAGCACATTTGAAATTGGTTTTCGTAATAATTAAAGTTGACAAAAAGAATGTTCCCAAATATGCAAACACAAAAAGGAAAACAAATTAAAAAACTAAAACAAAAAAGAAGTTTCATACAAGAAATCAGACAAATCATACAGACAGAACAAAATATTACTAACAATACAAAGACAAGAAATAACAACAGAACTACCGAACTCTTAAAACATAAACTTGGAAAAAGGAAAAAAAAAAAAGAATCAGAAAGCAAAAAGAAAGAAGACACTAAAAACTGGTGACAAACCAATATGAAAACAATTTAAAAAAGAATGGCCCTTTTCTGAAAAAAAAAAATTCATCATAATCAAAATCCAAGGAAATGATGAAAACCAGTCTCGCAAATCAATAATACTAAAAAGAACCAACAATAAAACAAATGAAGGAAAGGTACCTCATAATATTGACACGGAGGTGCGCTCTGAGCTCGATGAAGAGGTCATGCATCTGGCCTAAGTCAGCAGCATTGCCATGGGAATACAAGAGGGTGAACCTGGCAACAGGGTGTTTCCAAAAGGTGGCTACGATCTTATTGCCACCTTTTGTATCAAGCATATGAACATCCATGTTCTTGTCAGCTGAGATCCCTGGCAAAACCAGCTTCCCATTTTCTTCCCTGTAAACATCATACGTTGGTGGGTCTGGTGGAAAAAACGCAAACTTTGCAGCCACACTCGACGTTACATTCCCCATTACACCACCAAAGAGAACAAAAAGCCCAGTCTTTTTTCAGATATGAAACGGGTCAACACATGTAATGAACATATGGGCAGGAGCCTTTTTCTTTTTTTATTAAACGTTTGGTTTAAAGGTGCTGTTTTTGTTATGTTTCCTTGAGTTTTGCTTTGGATTTTTGGTTTTGGCAAATTTTCTGTTTGTGGGGGAATGGTTTTTGCGTTTTGGTGATTGGATTTTGTTTATTACTGGTTCTGCTGGGGATGATCAAAAGGCAAACATCCAAAAGTGAAAAATCAAAGGGAATGGAAGAGAAGGGAAATTGGATCCGATCTAAACGGGTGAGCTGGAACTCTTGCTGGTGAGGAACAGAGGCCAACAAATACTGCTACCGAATAAGCTTTTTCTTCTTTTTTTTTTTTTTTTCCTCTCGTTGTTTATTGCTTTCAAAGAGCTTATAAGCAATGGCCGTCTTCATGATGATCTGTTTTCTATTTTTCTCATTGTCTGATCAACAACACCTAGTTTTGGGATTTTTTGAAAATGTCCAACTTATCCTTTTTTTTTAGTTTTGTTTAATCAAACACCAAAAAAAAGTGTAATTAATTGGTGGCAAATTTTGGTTATAATAGTAAAAAAATTTTAATAATAAAAAACCCAAGCTAAAAAAATGAAGGGTGTTTTTGACTTTTAAATCTTTAGGCTGAATGTTCCCTTCATCCAAAACAATGGGTAGTTCCTAAAATCTAGTGGCCTTAAAATATACTCCTAAAAATTACTCAAAATTAAGATTAGATATCAAAGGAAAAACAAATTTGGAAAGATGGACGGCTTAGATTTGGTCAAAGGCAGGTGGGATCCTTTGGAAGGAAGAAAATATCAGAAAAATTGTCAGAATCAGACATTCCCTTCTTTGCCTTGTTCAGCTCAGCCCATGTTGGCTACAACTTTGACCATTTTTTTATATTAACTTTGACCATTTTTCCACAACTCTCCAAACCAATATTATTGCTCGTATGATTGTAAAAATTAAGGGAGTCGAGCTATTTATGGATAGAGATGTTAATGGATCGGATTGAGGTAGATTATTATTTTTATTTTGAATTTGATTTGATTTTATATATAATATTTAAATTTAATTTGATTTGATTTAAATTAATAAAATATTATTTGTTAATATAAATATAAAATTAAATCAATAATTAAAAAATTATTTTATATATATTGGATTTACTTAAAATTTAATTTGACTTGATCCTATTTTTTTTACTGTTATCTAATCCAATTTGAAACTTAATTAAAAAAAAATCGATTTTAAAAAATCTGATTGAGTTAAAATTAATCAGAAACAAATTGAACTATTATTCCTATTTATAAACACTGATTATGATAATAAAATATCATTTCAGAAATAAATTTGTATTTAGTTACAGATTTTTTTTAATATTAAGTAAATTGTGAAACAGTGGTGGTAGTTGGAGAAGCAATAATAATAGACTTGCCTTCAGAAACAATGGATGACGGGACAGTGGTCCTGGGAAGTGTGGAGGGGACCTTCCTATTATCATGCAGAACTAATGGAAATGAAAGGTTTAGAAGAGACCTAATAAATGAAAAAAACTGAATCTGAAAAAACATTCATTACATGCAATAATATTGGTTCCTGTTTCCATAATTAACACTCAAAAGATAAAGGCTTGGCGCAAAGTGGACAGAACAGCTAATTGCTGCCTATGTCTGCAACAAAAATTTCTTGTTTCAATGGCCAGGTTTGATCACCCAGAAGCCACAAGTATTAACTAATAATGTTTCTATGATTTTAAACCCTTGAAAATTTGCTCATGAGAGCCACAGTTCCATGCAGAAGCCAACATTACGCTAACTAAAATAAGAGTTGTAACGATTTTCAGCCTCAAATATTTGATTTCTATAGGGGTGAGTTCTTCTACTCTGCAGGTAAAACCTATGGTAGGCTGGCATCAAGTGAGGAGTAAGCTTCAGTCCAAAGGAAGAGACTGAGTCAAAAAGACCATAAAATGCTTGGGAGTTGGTGCATAAATAAATATAAAGAGACAAAAAAGACGAGTCTTAAAGATGACTAAAGACATAAAGATTAGTTCTGAAAAATGTTGCTATATGAAAAGACGACTGTTTAAAAGTTGTTTAACAAAAGCAGAAGAGTCCCACAGGCCACAGATCAGTTGCTAATACTATTTATTATACCCTTTATTTAAGATCATGATTGAAGATATCCAGGCAATGGATCATCACTTTCATGTGCAAAATACCTTTTTTTATCTGCAAATATAATTGATTTCTCCATTTTGGCCTGATTAAGGATCAACTGTTTTACTATAAAAAATAAAATGGAGAACCTCCCCTCTACTACCCTTTTGACCTGTCTCTTTCGTATTTTTCACCTTTATTTGTCGGATTCTCAGCTCACCCTAGATCCAGAAGCAAGAGGTGAGGTTTCCTCGTTGGACCAAAGCCATTTGCCACATAAAACTACTGGATTCATGTAACAATACCTAAGCAATGCACTTAAAATATAAAGCATGGGTCAACCTTAGATCTGAATATTTGGCTCGAAAAGAGATTGGATGTATCGGAAAATTAGTGAAACAGTCGAAAAGTTGGAACATGATGGGCCCATTTTCTGCTTGTTTTCTTTCCTTTCATCACACTTTCTCTCAAGAATAGATTTCTTGAGGGAGCATGAGCAAAATGATATGAAGTCAACAGGACCCTGAGAAGTTAAACCAGCAAGGGGGTTTGGTGATGATTTCCATTGAAATTTATGTGATTTCTTTTTGGTTATTTACTTGGGTTTATGTTTAACTGACTGCTCAAAATCTACTGATCAGACGCAGACCCTGTTATGCAGACCCCCTTAACAGGTCTATGTTGGATTGGAGAAAACGTGTCGAAATCATTGTGGGGGTTACTCAGGAATTTGAGCTGTGGACAGAGGGAAAAGGCATGGAATTCATGGACCTCACTGGATGACACAACTTCATCCTATAAGTTATTGAGATGTCATGCATGCAGATAGCACTGCTGTGTCCGTGAAAATGCAAATGACAGGCCTACTGCATGTTAGATGTCTCTTCAATGCTGAGAAATGAAAGCACATTAATGGCGGCTCCAAAGAGGCCTGCTTTCTCGACAAAAAGAAAGGACGATGAGGAAAAGAGATCTGAATTGCAGTTAGAAATATGTTCAGTTGATGATTCTAAAATTTCAGAAACGGTTGCTCGGTGAGAGTTTAGCCTTAGCAAGAAAAAATTCATTAATAAACTTTGTTCAAGTCTCTTTTCTCCTCCAAGGACTATGGTCTTTCCACACTGCAAAATATAGATGCTTCTGTTCGTCCAACTTGATAAACCAAAAGAGGTCAAACCAACAATGACAATAAAAGACAGCTTAATTTGGTTATACCTGTGGTTGAACAACACCATAATTAGAACCAATAATTTGGGTTCAAATAGTGAAAAATGTACTTTTTTCACTTCTAAATAAAAACAATATGGCTTTTGAGGCACTTGATCCTGTCAGCTAGTATTTATCTTTATACTTGTAGCATGATTTCTAACAAAGAAAAGGAAAGGGAACATCATATCATTTCATTTTTCTTTCTTGTTTATTCAATTCCTTGACAAGACTGAATTTTTAAATATAGACTTGAAATAATCTGTCAACTAACATCAATTTTCCCTTTTTTGGTATATTCTGGCTTTTGGGGCTTTCTCAAGTGGTAAGCTGTCACTTTTCTAATTTCCCCAGAGATACCCTAATCGACTTTAAGCCTTTCAGGTAGTTGAGCACGGTGCAGTACCAATCTTCCTAGTAAACAAATAAGGATGTCTTGTCATTATCATGTCATGTTAGAATGCTAAAGATTAAAGAAGAATGGAACTTATATTTGCTAAAGATTGGAGATCCTTACAAAACATTGCACTGTAATTAACCTAATGAACAATGTTTACAGCTTATGTAATAGGCACCAGGCAGCCGGAGAAGCAGCAGGTATTGGTGATTGCTCTGGTTACAATTGCTGCAGTGATTCTCTTGATGGGGACTATCATTTGCCACTGGAGTTATCTAAAGCAGAAGCTCTTACTTATGCTTTTAAAGACGAGTAGATAATAGCATCGCAATCCAGAATGAAACTTTAATGCTATATTTATAGAATTATCCTTCGTTGAGTAACACAATTGTTAACGCTTAAAATAGCTTTAAGCGGGGAAAAAAAAAGAAGAAACCTTAACATTAATGAATGCAGAATGTATAAACCATCCCTGGACAACAAAATTGTAGTTTTAGCCCGAGAAAAGGTTCAGCAAAATTAGTTTAATCACTTATGAGCCATCTCCATGTTACCAATTAGGGTTTCCACAAGGTCCTGTGAACAGATGAATTAAAATGAATTTGATCATTCTTTTAATATTTTCAAGGGAATCAAATCTGATCAAATCTAGAGAGAGGAGAGATCATTTACCTTATGAGATCAGCAATCTGTGAGACACAAACAAGATGCCAACACTAGCTATGCTTTTCTCTCATCCATTCGACAAAATTATCGAGAATCAAGGGCCAAGCTTGGGATGCATCATAATTTTCAAGATCTGGAAAACTAATCTGCTAGAAAGGATTCAAATTTATCATAGATGCCGCAGATTGCTTGAGGGGAAAAAAAATGTAAATTAATACTTCATTAGATATCATGCATTCAGTTCTTCTATCAATGCAATATAAATTAGCACATGGGACAACCAGCACCAAACGAATCTAGGATGAATCTTTTTATCCTTTTACATGTAATTTCTTATTTTCTTCGTTTTGGCAGCCAACACTAAATTTTAATGCAGATGGAATGAGTTTTGGGGGAAAATAGTAAGAGCAAAGTTTTACATATTTCTTTTCAAAAGGACTACCTCTTTGCAAAAACGTAGAAAATTCATCCACTGGTCCAAATTTATTACTTTGTAATCACTCTGGACCTGCCAGAAAATCAAGTCCAAGCATCATAAGCATGCTGTGGAACACACGTCTGATAATAAACAGTGCCTCTGATCAGCATTTCTTTTGCTAAAGATGAAAAAATAACAGCCTTATAAACGAAATTGGCTACCTACCTTTAGATACTCAATTAGTAAATCAACCTGAGGATGAAATTGGGCCCCTAGAACAAGATTCAACAATTCACAAATGCTTTCAATGTCCACACTCTTTTGCTTCTCCTCTGAGGCAGTTGATCAATGTAAGCTTTTTACTAGAAAAAAAATTCCAATAAAAGCAAAGCTGGGCATGGTGAAGAAAAAAAAAGGCTGTTTTTATTCAATTAAAGGGCAAACCTGTCAGGCAGTATCTAAATGCATAGGAATAAAAATCTTCATAATTCGATGACTTCCCCACCTTTTTTTTCAGATATGGAAAGGTAAAATCAGTATAACCACTTAATTGCTTACTTGTCAACAAGAAAATGACCTTACAATGATTGCAATAACTGTTGCAACAGATACAAATACCTCATTCTCCAGTTCAGGAAGTGCCTTTTTTAGTTTGCTAAGTGAATCAACCCCCAATGCTTTCAGGCCAGTTCGCCACTCATCCTGATTCAGTGCAAGAGAAGAAAAAAGGCAGTCATTCATCTAGTGTCAGTTCACTTTTTCTATCACATTATGGTATCCATCAAATGAAGCATGTCATATAAGACAGTCCTTCTGCTTACCTGGGTAAAATAGCCCTGCCTTTCAGCTTTTAATTTCCTGAGATATGCAGAGCACATGATGTTAGAAGAAACTCAAACCAATGTATGGTTCCAGTCATATATCCAAAGAATATATCATACCATGCAAGCATCAATATCCTCACATCAGTGTAGTCCACTCCTAGATCTGAACAGAGTGCTTCAATACCATCTGGACTGCTCAAGTAAACTAAGAGTATTAGAAAAGGATATGCATGAAATCCTCTAAAGAAAATCTCTTCTTGTGCATCCAGTGGGCTTATGTTAACTTGTTTGAGGGTATATGCCCTCACATCGGATGATCAGAACTTTTTTTCAACATGCAGATGAGGAAAAAAATTTATGCTAGCTCTTTGTTTTTACTTTTTCAAGGGAACTCATTACTTTTTGACTCAATGGAAATGCAGGTAAAAATATCTTTACAACTTAAAGTTGTTCTTAGCTGAAGCACTTTTTTGTAAGTACCTTGAGAAAGAAATATAGATCTACACATAATAAGTGTTGAGACTTTATGTTCAAACAACTACTTAAGAAGGTTCATGAGCTTTTGCATCGTGTTCAAACCACAATTTAAAACAGATGACATGAAATGTAACACCTTCAAGAACCAAAAACTAACTCTGATCATTGACCTTGAAAAATGATAATAGCATGACTTGGACTAATAGAATGAATTCATTTGGCTTTTTCTTCTTTTGTATCTAAAGGAAGCCAATCACCATGGCAATAGCTAGAGTGAAACATGATACCATATCAGTAACTCCACAAAATATAAAAAATGTAGTAGGAATATACTTACTCAATCATGCCTAATGAATTATTTGCATATGAATTGAATAAGCGATCTATTTTTTCCATCCCTTTTGTTTTAGCTTTAATTGAGACTGGAAAAAAAAAGAAAAGAAATAGCATTATCTAATTAGAATACCCAGCACTGTATGAAAAAACCCCAAAAGTTAAGTTGAATAATAACAAGCATAATTGAAAAAAAAAAAAGAAAAAAAACTCTTCCAGCCTACTCAACCGAGGGCAACCAGCATTATCACTATTTTATCTATTTAACATTCAATTAAGATTGCTATATGATATAGAATGCTGATTCCAATAGTTTCAGTTCGCTACCAAAATTATCAACATCAAAGGATCTCAGGATGATACTTTAGTGAGACCACATAAGGCTATCAACACCACCGAGAACAAGCTGAGGGAAGAACAAAACAACTAATCTTACAACCAAAGGAAAGCGAGCCTAAGTTGGATTTGCAACATGAATGATATAACATACGAGGTCATTGTACTCTATTTAGATCTATCCTAAATATAAAAAGCAAGGTCATTTTTAATAGTTTCAACCCATATCTCCTTCACTCCATACATAACCTTCAGGTCTAATCCTAACAGAACCTTTTTTTTTCATGTAACAGTCCCCAAAACAAATCAATAGTGCAATTTTCCCTAACTTGCTGTGAAGGACTAAACATGGAACATTACTTTCAACATAAATTCATTAAAGGGAATGTTACTAAATTTCAGTGAAGATGTAGAAATAAGTTGCTATTACATTCAGCCACAAAACCCAGCAACTATGACCAATAACCCAATAATCTCAAGATAATAATCAATGACACGAATTAAAGAAGAGCCCAATCAGATCTAATAGGTCGTTACTCAACTCAGATTATATACCATGAAGTATCTTTTTTTTTTTTATAAAGAAAAAGGAAAGACAAGAATTTATCGAAGATCTTTAGAAAAAAGTTACCGTACGAATTTTCAATTTAATATTTTCTCGTTTCCCGCGGTCTCCGAGAAACCAATGAGAATAAAATTAAAATAAAATCGTCATTCAAATTCGAACCAAAATAAAAACAAACTAACGCTAATGACACTAAAATTAATGGGGCTACTCCAAATCTCGCTTAAATTCTTCTATTTTCATTAATCCTTTTTCCCGCTATTTCTCGTGTACCAAACATAGAAAAAGAAAATTCTTTTCTTTTATTAAAAAAAGAAAAAGAAAATAAGAAAGGGAGAGAGGGCACCAGAACGACCCTCGGGTGATGTGACGGATGAGGAATTGGGTGGGGCCGATTTTCGCTTAGATGTGCGAGGCATTGCGTTGGAAAAGAGATTTGTAGCAGAGGAGCAACCACAGCCGCTTGATTTGCTGACCAATTGACTAAGTTGAAAAAACCCAGAACCCTAGATCCAATGAGAGAGGGAGAATTGGAGTAATATTTGAGGTTGAAGAGAGTGAGAGGAGATTTATAATATAACACACTGTTTATATAGGTGGGAGAAAGAGACTGGAAGAGAGCGTGAATGTTCCACGGAGGACGCAAGGTTCCTAAAAAGGCCGGTTTTTTCTTTGTTCATTTTTTTAATCTTTGTTTTTGTTTGTTCTTCGACGCGAGCGTAAGCGCGTGGAGGGGGTGTGTGTTAAGCCCATATGGATCACAAACCCAACAAAATTGGGCCTGAAAACAGGGACATAAATCCACATTTCCGAATTCAAAGCCCATTAACGGCCCAATATGGGAAACCCTAAAATCCCAGCTTATGTTAAGTGCACTCTGTCTTCAAAGCTTGTAAATCAGCAGCTTCAAGACCCTAGCGCTGCATCTCTCCCAACTGCCAAAGATGGTAATCGTCCTCCTGCCCTCTTTCCATCTTCCTTACCTTAGATAACAGTTGAGCTATTCGTTTTAAGCTTGAGCTTCTGTACTTTTTTTCTTTTTTATCTCTGTTTATATGTGAAGAAAGTTGAGTTTTTAAGGGTAGCTCTCTGATGTTTTGAATGGTTTATTTTGACATGCAGCCTTCACACAAGTCCTTCAAGATTAAGAAGAAGCTGGCCAAGAAGATGAGGCAGAACAGACCCATCCCTTACTGGATCCGCATGCGCACAGACAACACCATCAGGTCAGTATATTTCTGCAATTTTTGCTTAAATATGTTTACAAGTTTTTGTTTTTTTCTTTCATTTTAAGCTATTTTCAGAGCATTAATTGATGGGTTCTTTTCAATTTTCTGTTTTTTGGGGTTCAGGTACAATGCCAAGCGTAGACACTGGCGCCGTACCAAGCTAGGGTTCTAAGCTGAGCTTTGTTTCTTTTTCTTTTTTTCCAAATTTATTTGCAGACTTTTTGATGTGGAATTAAATATTGGGAACTATTGAGGCGTTCATTCATTGGAGATTTTGATGAGATTGTTTGGCAGTTCTTCAAATCATAGTTTCAACTTTGTTTTAGCCAGTGTTTGATTTTATATTCTGCTTTGTGTGCTTGTGGAATTTGGTTTTGCTTGTTGCTTTTACTTGTTTTTATATGTTAAGCTGTTCTCACCTGGATGATCGATATGTGCTTGAGAGTGACTTTGTTTGGTTTATGTGAAGCTGAATCATTTCGTTCTTATGAATCAATGAACGTGAAATTATTAGGTAATAGTGATACAGATTAAGCCAGTTCTTTTGAGTGACATGCCTTATGCATTAAAATTCTAGAGAGCATTGTTGCTTACTAAGAAAGCTTGTTTGCAAGATTGACTATCAGAGACGATTTGAAGAGTAGGATTACTGTAAGATTATCATGAAGTCTGGCTGTATATATTTCTAGACCAAGAGAGCAAAAAAAACCTTGGAGGGAACTATTCGATTGACTATAGTACGTTTTTATTGATACTCACCATTGATTCATTCATCCCCATTCTAGTAAGATCATCAATTAGCCTTCTTTCTGATATGCTATTTCCAATTCCCAATCTTCTCTTTATTTGGTTTTCAGCTTGCTATGTATAAAATTTTGTTAACTTGACAAAGAACACAGCAATCATGAGAAAAAGTTCAGCAATAACAATAGGAGTGATACTATAATGTCTACGAACATTTATGTCATTGGTGATATTAATCTGTTGCTTTATTCCAGAACAAGCAGCCTCTTCGGCAGACTTGACAATTTGTATGTTCATGCAGGCATAAAATATTAATAATTTGAGTAATTTATTTATTTGTATCGTATTTTATATAAAAATTATAAATTAAATTTGTGTTAAAATTAGATTAAATAATCTAAAATATGACATGATGATATTGAAACGAATATGAAAATAGAATATGAAAGTGACAAGAAAAGTGACAAGATTTAAAATTATAATAATAATTATATATAAATTTAATAAAATAAAAAAATTATATTTTATATTTTTAAATTATAATACGTAATTTTTATATATAATATAATATATATATGAATTTTAATGTTTTATATAATATAAATATATGAATCGTTAAATCTAATTAAATTTGTAAATTAAATTTGTGTTAACATAAAAATATAAAAAAATATATTTTTTGTTAAATTTATATATAATTTTATTAAAATTTTAAAATATATTATTTTCATATGTTTTTTATATAATTTTTATATTGTATTAATTAGTCTCATTTTGTTGCTGCCTCGTTCCGTACAAACAAAGCACATGTTGCTGACTAATGTCCGTTAACATTTCAAATAATTGAGATTTTTAAAAATGAATTAATTATACTTTTGAATTTTTGAAAAAAATATGAATTGATACTTAAAAAATTCAAATAAATAAATTGTACGTAAAAATTTTAAATTATGTAAAATTTTAATTTAAAATTTAATATTATTAACTTAATTCATTTACATAGTATTTAATTAATATAAATTTATTATATACATGTTATTTCTTAAATAAAATATTAAATATTTTTTAAAAATTTTATATAAATATCACATGATAAATAATAATTAATCTATTTAAGGTACTTTTTACAAAAATATATATTTCTTTAATTTTTATTGAAAAATTATGAATAATATATGTTTGGTAAATATATAACTGGATAATACTTATCAAAATATTACTTATATATAAGTTGATATGATTAATAATATTATAATTTAGGTTAACACGTACAAATCGTATATTTTAATTTTTTAAGAATCAAATTATACATTTTCTAAAGATGTAATTAACTCTAAAGATGTCCTGTCTGCCGCTCCAACATTTCCCCTGAATCTTCCGCTACTTTCATCTTCACACCGGCTAAAACCTCCTCGGCCGCCGTCTCAAACCGCACCCATTATTAAAAGCCAAAAAGCTTAGGCTAGTAGAACCTATTTTGATAAAATTGATAGTAAGATTTATAGGAATGTTTTTACCAGAGGTAAGTAATCGGAGGGAGAGGAGCGAAGGAGAAAAGGTCTTCGAGGTGGAACACTAGGAATTTAGGGTTCTTGACGAGGCATTCTCTGTACGGGAACACGTTTTTCTCCTTCTCGAAGCTTCTCATGCTCTTCGAATTTAAGGACGGAGCGGCGGCTCGAGGAAGCGGGTCCGGAGGCGGCTTCCACTTCCGAGGAGGCTTCCGTGAACTGCGCCTTGTTGCTGTAGTACAACGCTTCTTCGTCCCATCCCTACTTTTTTTCTGTGATTATCTTCTTTCTCTCTATGTGAAATGAAGAAGCGATATCGTTCTCTCTAAGGCGGTTCTTTTCCCCTCTCCGTCGATTATTCAGCGGGGTTCTTTTTGGCGGGAAGGTGATGGAGTTTGTTGGAGAAATGGCCTCGCACGTGCGTCAGACACGAGTGTTTGGCGATTGGATTGCCTTAAGTGAATCCAAAGGGCATAGACGGTGGCCCGGTGTCTATACTTTTCTCAACAACAAAAGCCCAACAAAACAAAAACAACATATCAGTTATAAAATTTTAAAAGCAAAAGAACTTGTAAACAAGCCAAACCGCCGTTGCAGGGGATCGAACCGGGTCGCCTGCGTGACAGGCGGGAATACTTACCACTATACTACAACGACTTGATGCCCAAGCTTATCAAAATATCTTTTATTTCTCTGATTCTTGATTAGTTGATTTCATTATCTGATAAAACAAAGAGAACCATAAGAATAGACCTCCATGGCAGTCCCGATAACCAACCTCGGCCCTCTATCCAGCACCGTGAAACCCACAGTCGCCTTCACCACCCCACCAAACTACGCCGCCAGACTCTCCAGCCTCCTCACTCTCAAAGGCCACATTCCTTTTTGGTGCCCCACCATCACCACTCATCCGACTCCTCAATCTCTCTCCTCCTACCTTTCCCAATACTCCCTCTCTCTCCTCTCCGCAATCGCCTTCCCTTCTCGCGCCTCTATCACCTCCTTTTCCGTCGCCGCTCTCTCTTTCCCTAAACCCCTCCTCCCCTCTCATGGACCTACGTTCATTCTCGCTGCCTTGGGCAAAGATTCAGAGTTAATCAACACCCTTTTTATTTCCCAAATTTGTTCCAATATACAACGGATTAAAGTTTTGGTCCCTCCGACCGCTACCCCCAACAGCTTAGCCTTATCGCTTGGGGAAGGATATGGTCGGAAAGTGTTATGTCCTGTTCCAAAAGTTGTCGGGCTAGATGAACCGCCAGTCGTTCCGGATTTCCTTAAGGATTTGGAGGGTGGTGGATGGGTCCCGCTTCGTGTTGACGCGTACGAGACGAGGTGGGTGGGGCCCAGTTGCGCGGAGAGAGTGGTGAGGAAAGGGGAGGAGAATGAAGGTGAAGTGGATGCGGTTGTTTTTACGAGTAGTGGAGAAGTTGAGGGGTTTTTGAAGAGTTTAAAGGAGTTTGGGTGGGATTGGGGGATGGTTAGAAGGAGGTGGCCACGGTTAGTAGTTGCGGCTCATGGGCCGGTCACGGCGGCTGGGGCGGAGAGGTTGGGTGTGGATGTTGACGTTGTGAGTTCGAATTTTGGTAGTTTTAGAGGCGTTGTTGACGCCCTTGATGTGCGTTTGAGAGCTTTGGGACAGGAATAGGGTTTGCATATTTGCGTGTAATTTTTTTTTTTAAATAAGTAGACATAAGGGGAAATGGAATTTAGAAATTGACAAATATTTTTTTATTTTAATTTTTAATAACAATTTGCATTTTTATGTAGGCAATAACTATAGATATTCATTGATATAAACAAGCTGTCAACCAAATCAAAATACAAATATTGTAACTTTAAAAAAAAAAAAAGAAGAATATTTTTATCAACCAAACGTATTTACTACACTAAATATGTATATATATGTATCTGTTGAGGTCCTTCCACCGTATGGTGAATCAAATATTGCGACTCTCCTTCAAAAGTACTACTACTATTTACCTGTCGGCCTCACCCCTGACAGAACCTTCAAGGCATCTTTCATGGATGGCCGATCAACTGGCCCGCTTCTGGTGCAGAGCAGAGCGACATTAAAAACCTGTTTTATTTCCTCTTGCAGTGAATTGGTGGAACCAGCTTCATTGTCATTGTATATTTCTCTCAAAAGAACATCCCTTGGTTTGCTCTGTATGCTTGGTCCAGCATTTGTCAGCCTACCAGATGTTAATATTTCCATGATGATCTCCCCAAAGTTGTATATGTCCTTGTATAGTTCCTCTTTGATAGCATCATTGAATTGACCTGTTTCAATCATCAAATATGAAATCAAGAACTGATTCTAGAAAAAAAATAGAAAGTACGTTACAATTCGTTCAGACATTCTTTCAGCTTTGAATATGTTAGGACTTTAACTTAAAGTTAATTTTGTTCGTTTGAAATGGCAAAATTTTGTATAAAGGAATCCATAGAAAGTGAGTACATAATTGAACCTGTTATCAATCTGGAAGTTGTTGCTGGAACTGTTCCTTTGATCAACTGTATCAAATACTTGAACCCAAAATCAGCTAGACGGGGTTCGAAATTATCATCAAAGATTACATTACATGACTTCAAATCTCCATGAGAAATTGCAGGATTACAGTCATGGTGAAGGAAGCAAAGTCCCTTTGCAATTCCAGTTATAATTCTGTGCTTGGTTGCCCAATCTCTTCGAGTTCTCACCTTCTCAGCCAAATTTCCGTTAGGCAAGTAATCATACAGCAGATAAGCCAAATGCTTGTTGTAGCAGAAACCAAGTAATCTGATCAAATTCCTGTGCCTTGCATTTCCAATTTGTGTTATAAATTCTGATGCAAGCTTCATTCTCTTTGGCTCCCATTCTATCTTTTTGACCAAAACTGTTATTCCAGTAGGTAGTACTGCTTTGCAAACTGCAGCTGATAGCGGTGGCAATTCTTCCATGGAATCAGTAGAATTGAAACTCCTCAAAATGTCATTTGCTGTAAACTGTGGGAGTCCGATGAAAGAGTCCATTTTCCACTGGCCTTTGCTTCCTTTGCGGAGATAAATTAGCCAGACAACTGATGCTGCAATAAGTATGATTGCTCCAGCACAAAGCAACAGAACTAGCCTGAGCTTTCCACTGCCTTTGCTTCCAAAAATTGACATTGATCCTGAACATGATTTAAGAGGTGCTCCACATAGCTCTGGATTTCCAACATATGCACTTCTACCCATTGATTGCAGCACCTTTTCTGAGGGAATGACACCGGAGATATCATTGAATGATACATTTAGAAGTACTAAGCTTGAAGACTTGCCAAACTCTGAAGGTATTGAACCGCTGAAATTATTACATGACAAATCCACAATACGTAGGGCAGGAAGGCTAGCAAGCTCCTCAGTTATTTGACCAGTTAACTGATTGCTAGCTAAATTAATCATCCCAAGTGCCTGGCAATTGGAAATACTTTTTGGGACTGCTCCTGACATACTGTTCATCTGCAGTTCAACGACAAGAATGGACTTGCATGATCTGAAAGGAGGTAGATTCCCTGAGATGTTACAAGATGATACAGAGAAATTTTGAAGAAATGGTAAAGACCATGTTTGTGCTGGGATCATTCCCCCTAGTCCTGGATTATTAGAGACATTGACATACTGAAGCTTTGAAGCTTGAGAAATATCTGAGGGAATTCCACCAGTAAACCTGTTCCTGGACAGGTCTACGTATGTGATATCAAGAAGATGGCTGAACTTCAAAGGGATTTCACCTGAGAATGAATTATCCTCAAGTCGAAGGCGAACAAGCGAAGAACAATTGGATAGAGGTGAAAGATTGCCAGTAAACTTGTTCGAAAACAGGATTAATTTAAATAGCTCACCACCTGCACAAATATCAGGTGGAATGCTGCCAATGAACCTGTTGGTTGAAACATCCAACCATCTAAGCTTTGAGTTCCTGCCCAAGTTTCGAGGAAGTGACCCACTGAAGAAATTGTTCCATATAAACAGAGTAACCAGTGATGGAAGTTCTGCTATACCTTCTGGGACAGTGCCATTCATTTCATTGTACATAAGACTGAGCAGACTTAGATTCTTCAATTCTGCAAAGCTTTCAGGAATAGGCCCGGATATTAAGTTATCGGAGAGATCCAAGTTGGTGAGAGGCAAGATTCTGTTAAACTCCCGTGGAATCAGTCCTGTGAGTTGGTTTCGGAAGAGAAATAGTGACTGAAGCTTGGTGAGATTGGAGAGCTGCCTGGGTATTGAGCCAGAGAGATTTGCACCGGCAATATCAAGATACTGAAGCTCACTCATGTTGCCCAACTGCCATGGGATGTTCCCTTCATAAGAGTTGTAGCCAATCTCCATATGTGCCACTGTTTTGAGAATACCGAGTTCCGGTGGTATGTTGCCAGTGAGGAAATTTCCTGCTAAGTGAAGAAATTCCAGGCTTTTGAAAGACCCATATGCGGATGGGATTGGTCCATTGAAGTAACTACCAGCTAAATTGAGAACCTTTAGAAATTCAAGCTCGGAAAGCTGAACAGGCAATGGCCCTGAGAAACTGTTGCTAAAAGCATCAAGAACAACCAGGTTTCGAAGACCCTTTATTCCTTCTGGGAAGTGGCCAGAAAAATTGTTTCTGCTGATATCTAAGCTTCTTAGATTGGTGAGGTTGAAGATTTCAACGGGAAGTTCTCCAGAAAATGAGTTTTGACTGATGTTGAGATCAACAAGCTCAGTGAAGACATTGAATTGCTTTCCAGGTAACTTGCCGGCAAGATTCTTCATACAAAGATTTAAACCAATAACAATGGTGGAGTTCTCGTCACATTTGACACCAGACCAAGAACATGCATGTACTTTCCCTGAAGGATTTCCTCCAGGAGGCAATAACCAATCATCCAGACTATTATAATCATCAATAATTTCTGATTTTAAGCTCAATAGAGCATCTGAATAAGGATCAGCAGCTAAAACCACTGCAATTAACATGGAAGAGAAGAGGAGGTTTAAGTGTGGCCAGCGGAAAATCTCCATTGGAACTCGCAGTGAAGAAGGAAGAGAAACAAAGCATAAACGCAAACAAAGAAAAAAAAAAAAGGTCAGTCAAGATCATCACCAGCTGTGTTTCTGTGTTTGTGTTAGCTGAGTTTGATACATGGGAAATAGGGAAGGGAAGCATGAAAGGAGGGAATGACGGATAGTGATTAGTTGATATGAGAATATCATTGGGTTGCTTTTGGGGGCAAGATGGGGCCTTGCGGTCTTAAGTTTATTGGATGGTGTTTGCCATTACGGATAAAGCTTCCATGTCTTTGATTTTGAGCCATCCTTTTCTCACTTTTTTACTGGAGAGAATCCTATACATTATCACCAGTTACTTAATTCAATTAGTTTATGAACACTGTGGGCACCACTAAAATCATCATATTGATTGTTTAGTTATAGAAATAAGAGAAGGGTTTTGCATAGTCTTTTGTAGTTGAAGCAAAATTGCATAATCATAGGTAAAGGTGAATCATTCTTTAATAGCAAAAATCAATTAGACACTTATTGGGCAATTAACATGACAGCTGCTATGAACCATTCTTTGGACCTTTAATGATTATACTTTGTGTAAATCATTTTATCACAACCATGGGGTACATTGTAGGGGATGAAGTGGATGGTAAATGAAAATGATTTGTTTTTTATGGGGTAAGAAAAAATGGGGTAAAAGGGGGGATGAAAACCCTTTCTTTTGGTGGTTTAGGTGTGAATTCATATTCATGGGCTGATAGGGGAAATGGGGATGCAGGCAAGTAAATACACTATATTTCAGCTTGTAGCTGCAACCTGGTCAACTTGTCCCAAAGCGCAGAAAAGGGAAGAAAAAAGACAAAATGTCCTTGACATCTGCTCTTGAGGAAAATGAAAGCTGTTCTTGCCGATTTGAACCGTTACAAGAATTTGACGAAGTAAGAATGACATTCGTTACTTTAGTACTCTTTACAATCCCTTTTTCGTATTATTTCTTTTTCACCCGCATGTCTAGAATCCCCACTGGGGTTACAACTCTGTATTAGATTAATTTCAATTCGTATGGCATGCCAGTACATGTAGGGACAAGATAAAGATCTTTGATAGGATTTTCATTTTTTATCTTGTTGTTGAATTGAAACGAAGAAGGTAAAGAGTAAAGACAAGGGTTGTGATAAAAAAAAAAGAGACTATTTCCCTTGATTTATGATGAGATTAGCCTTTTGTGTGTTTGAAGGACATTAAAAAAAAAAAAAAAAAGGTGAAACCCCTCCTTGACATGTAGTGTTCCTTGGCAGTGACTGCTGCGCTTCATGGTCCACATGCGATCCAATACAGCGAACGACAGAAAAAGAATCCATCAAGGGAAGTAGCCTCGGAGGTTTTCTATGATTAAGAACCCTAAACGTGATCAATTTATACAACTCTATCTTACATCAGTAAAACGTTTTCCTAGTAGTACTTTTGAACGCGCCATCTTTTTTCATCTAACTGTAGATGAACTGGTCCTTTAATCTTCATTACTTGAAAAATTTTTGGTTCTATGCTTCTATTATTGAAAACTTCGGAGCTCATGTCATGGAAGACAGTGCAAAGTCTTAAATACTTGGAACCCACCCACTTCATGAGAGGCAGAGGCAGTACCTGCAGATTTTCACAGTGGCCCCGTGATTGTGAAGAGCCCCAGCTGCGTGTTATAATTAGGTTTCAATTAATGGGGTGATAAAAAAAAAATCTGCCATTTTGAAAGCTATTCTGAGCTCTGCAAAACCAAATGCAATACCCCAGAGGCACAGAGAGCTTTCATGTGCCATTAAAAGCCTTGTTCCTGCTGCTGCTATGGTTGATGAGCTTGAGGGAGGATTAAAAGGTACTTTCATAGAGATTAGATTTAACTCACACGAGGGAATCAACATTCAAGGTCGATCAACTACTGTTTTTTAATAGCTATAACCCTGTTCAGTAGTCAGAGTTGGATGTATAAGAATTCCAAAGAATTTCCCCCCTGACAGGATTGAGAAAGACCCTGCACCAACCGCATGGCCTTGTAATATGGGAAGAACACATCTTTTTAGGGAAAAAAATGGATTCCAACTCAAGTAGTCAAAAGAGAAGGAGCTTAATAGGTTCAATATCTGATTTGATATCTTAATCTGATCAAATAAAAAAAAGTACAACCAAACCTGTTTACCAACTGATTGAGCATCTCTTTTTTCTCAAAGGTAGGGCACCCATGATAGAGAAAATGACCATTGCTGGCCTTGAATTGGGATACACCCATGGCTTGGGTGAAGGGTAATTCTGAGTTTCCAAGGTGCCTTTTTTGAGAAGCTAGGGAACATCCAGTCAACAATTGGTGGTGCTGAAACTAATGAGCCAAGCACAACGGATAAACATTCAACAAGAAGAAACGATTAATAAATAAAATGTGTAAAGGCAAAGAGGGTGGGTGGAGTTAGTAAAGTGAATGAGGAAGAAAGGGACACATCTTTAATTTCTACCGCCTTTTAAATGATTTCTCTAATAAACTTGTTCTTTTTTTGTGGACCCAAAATTAGAGTCAATAATTTTAAATGTAATACGTAATATGATAAAAAAATGATATGAATAAAAAATATAAAAATAATATAATGTAAATTTTTGATAAAAATTTTAAATAAATTTAATAAAATAAAAATATTATTAATAGGTGATTGATTCAATTGGTTAAAATTATTTTTTTTTTACAAAAAAATTTTGAGTTTAAATTTGATCGATGATCATTTGTTAAAGTCATATTGAATGTATATTTTATCTTGATTTGAGAGATTTAACAGTTTATCTACTATAAAATTTTTTTTTTATAAAAAAAATAATATTTTCATATCAATATAAATTATAACATATAATTTTTATGTAAAATATGATATTAATTCATAAATTATTAATATTTTATATGATATAAATATAATAATTACCAATTTTACCAAACCATGCAATTTGCAAAATCGGCTTTATTCCACAGAGAACAGAATAATCTAGATCCCTACGGTTTCAACATATACTATCAAACAAGCCGGCCCTGGTAACTCAAATGAACAAAGAGTAACAGTTGCATTATGCGGTAAAATTCAATTCAACTCCATCAAAGGATATATCATTTATAACATCACCCTGGTTGTTTTGAGCAAAATACTTTAGTCCTAAGAATGGAAAGTGAACTATTCACCGGGGGAATAACTCTCCTTGTTGGTAATATAATTCAGCAAATGCAAGGTATATATATTCTTAGTTTCATTAGAATCTGAAATTTAATTTCATTGGTTCGTAATTATTAATGACATTCAATATATCTAAAATTTAAATTTCAACAGCTAAAGTCCATTTTTTATCCCTAAATTAATATATTCTTTATTAAAAAAAAAAAAAAAAAAACTCCAGAGGCTCATCCTTACAAAATATGGCAACAATCATCATAATTGTGAAGTTTAGTATATTTTCATTTTCACCAGAGTAAGAGTAACACCATGGCCCATCCTTGCACAATATGACACTATAGTTTTTGAGCCCAGTTCATTGCTAGTTAAATGGGTCATATCAAGCCCAACCCTTAGGCACTTTTGTAATGGGTATGGTCTTCTTGAGGGCCCTTTGCATTTTTTTTTCTATGTATCCAAAAATACAAAAAACATAATCACTTAGATTTTATATTATTATTTCCCATATTGGTGGCAATTAGCTTTCCTTTTAAATTGTGTTGAGTTGATCAAATGATTTTGAACCTTCTTTTTTTTTTTTTTTTTTTTTCATTTTTAAGTTTGGATCTAAGCTAGTATTGGAATTGGATCAATGGTTTTTATAATCAACCCAAGTTGAACCAAAAATTTTTTAGCAACTTGTGTAAGTATTCATGATTTTTTATCAATACTTGCCACATTTTCATTATTCAAAACTTGATGAATCATAACCCATTTTGGTTAAATCCTTTTGTTTGTTTATGATATTGACTTTTTAGAAACATCAAATTGAGTCCAATAACATCTAAGCAATTTAAGTTAAGCTTAGTCAAATAATAATATTAAGGACCAAAAAAAATCCCTTGCCATTTACCCATAACAGATTAATGGGTATGAGTTTTTGTTCCAACATACCATTACTCAATGTCAAAACGGCATCTTGATTGGATAAGAATCTCTTACATAATCCATCCAAACCAATAAAAAGCCAACATAATTAAAAATTCAGTTAAAATAACCAAAACAAAATTATGAACTTTATCATTTTATTTAAATAAATTTTAAAAATTTTAATACATTCAAATAAACCCTTAGTATTTAATTTTCATTCAAATATTAACTTTTAAGTTATATCTAAATAAAGTCTTAATCTTTAAGTTATACTTAAATAAAATTTTAATATAAATAAATTTACAATTGGATACAAATTAAAAGATAAAAACTTTTTAAAATATAATAAAAATATAAAAATTTATTTAAAAATAAAATAATTCAAATATCTTTTAATGTTTTAACAAATTTGATTCAACTAGTGGCACTAACAATAAAAAAAAAAATGAGAACCCAAAATGGTTTTGAAATTGTAATATTTAGTTTTGTTTTTTTTTATTCGGTTGGAATTAAATTCAAATATGATATATATATTAAGTTTGAATTGAATTTCAAATCAAAAAGTAAAAGAAAATTTAAAAAATTAAATTGAATTATTTATTTTTTAGCTTTTATATATATTTAAATTTTTATAAAATAAAATAATTATTTTATATATAAGTTTATTTAAATACATTAAAAAATTATATTAAATGAATATATAACAAATTTTAAAAAATTAAATATCAATGGATCAAATTGATAAATTTCAAATCAAATCAAATTAAATTATATAAAATTTAATTAAAATTAAAAAATTTATAATTTTATATATTATCTTAAAGATTCAAATCAAATTCAGTCCAATCTAATCCGCTATTACTTCTAGCATACACAATTTTGTTCAAACTCAAATACTTATAAAATAGTAAAATACTATGGTTCAATTACAAAGAAATCCCAATCCCTAACGGACAAGAATTGAAAGCTTACTATAAATACCCTAACCGCGTTGCTGGTAGTTAATTTCGCCATTGTCGTGAGCTAGAAATCAGAGCATTGCTATTCCTTCGTCTACTCTTTCCCAAATTTTTTTTCCTGTCAAAAATCCTATGGCAACCGCGATTCTTCGCACCGAAGACTGTCTCCGTAATCGGTTCCGTCTTGAAACCCTGAGCGTTGACCATCCTCTGAGATCTCGTAGAAACCCTAACCCTAAGATAACCAAACCTAAACCCAACAACGATTTTTCCAGCTCTCGTCGTCGAAAGAGGAGTTCTGTAGTGTTCCAATCGAATAACGGAAGGCAATCCGAACCCATGGTGGCCAAACCGCCTGGGAAGAATCTGGTGATGGGCCAGGTCAAGATCCTGAAACGTGGGGAAACGTTGACCGCCTCCCCGGAGAAGACCGATCGTGGAAGGATACAAGGATCGAGGGGTGAAGAGGAGTTTGATTTGGCGTTGGGGTCGACGAACCGGCTGGGCCCAGATCCGGAAACGATGCAAAAGCAAATTAAGCTTAAGGAATTCAAGATTGGTGGCGGACTTTACGCCGGTTCTGCTTCTTTCTTTTCGCCGCCGCCCAGTTCTCTTCCGGTCCCTGGGTTTTTGGGAAAGACCGCAAGGGCATCCTCATAATCGTTCCGGCGATCATCAAAGCTGGATTTCGTACGACTCCCATTGGGAAAATCCGGATAGCCGAATGAGCTTTGGGTTACCATGGAATTTCTTGCTATTGACTCTCATGTTATTCCTTTATTTTTTCAAGAGGAAGAGAATTGAGTGGAAGCAAAGGAATGAGTAAAAGAACTTTCTTTTGCGTCTTTATCTCCTTGATTAGGTAATCATTTGTCGATTGAAAGAAAGGAATTAGGTTTTGTGTTGTTTTTCAACATTTCTTACTGTTAGAACGTGTAAATTCTTTTAATATTTGGTTTCTGTCAAGATTGAAAATGTGTTGTTTTCATAGGTTTAGAAATTAGAGGATTTCAGTTTCTTATATGTATCACCAATAGTCACTTCGATTTGGTGTAACTGTTAAAAATTTTAATAATGCAATGATATCGTAGGCTTGGAAGAGAAGCTTGGTTCCTTTCTTTGAATTGTTCATTTGTTCGCTGGTTTTTATGGTTACCAGCACACTGGAATGCGTTTGAAATGGTATGGCGGATGCTAGTTGCTAGTGGTATCGGGTGATCTCTGCTTCTATGTGTGACTTCAATTTGTTATACAGGAGAAGGAAGAACGTTGAGGAGTAAAGCCGGGAACAGAAGCTTGCCTCGCAAACCTTTGCCTACAATGGAGGTTCAGATGTGGAGGGCTCAGTCTCAAAAGGCAGTTCAGACGGGAAAGGTGACTCCATGGGTAGTGGCACTGAAGATGACAAGCTTCGAGAAGTTGATGGTGATGGTAAAGAGCATGATTTTGATTATAGTAGAAGAAAAGATGTGATGACAACAATGGTAGTAACTCGCAATTCTTCAGATGAAAAGGAAAATTTGGGCGATGAGAACACTGAGAAAGACATGTCCATGGGATCACAATGGCATAAGAGATAGGCTGGTAATGCTATCCATCCTGCTGTGGGAACTGGAAACTTGGGCACAAATAATAGATTGAGGCAAAGGCCAGTCAATTAACTCTGCCGTTGGCACTATTGTGCCTGATTCATAGGTGATATCTCGTTAGATAATACAACAGTGGCATATCAGGTCTCTAAAACTTGCTTAGAGAATTCCAACTAAATTTTGTATGCGCCTTTTGCCTTTGCTGTCTTTTCATGCATGTACTTGTTAATGATCATCTCTAACTCCGAGCCCATTGCCCCTACCCCATGTTTACTCTTCATTTGAAACGTTTCACATTTAAATGAAAAATAGCTCAAATGAAAGCTGTTAGGAATGGGGATGGGTTACATAGCTTGGTCCACTGGAACCTCATTTATCAAGTTTTGCCACAATCTTTCACACAAGTCAGGATGGCCGAGTGGTCTAAGGCGCCAGACTCAAGTTCTGGTCCTCGAAAGAGGGCGTGGGTTCAAATCCCACTTCTGACAACATTTTCTCAATCTGACTTTAATTTGGCCCAAAGCCCAAAAAGTGACCTAGTTTTTGTTATTGGCAGAATGGTGACTGAACAGAAACCCGAAATATAATTTACAGCAAAACCAAAGCCCAAAATTTGACCGAAACATCAATATCCACGTCAAACAAAAGCAACAGCGAACCAAATTCTTTACGTGGTCTGTTGTGGTCTCAAAATTTCAGTTCTGCTTAATTATAGCCGTTTTTCTGAAACTAGGATTTTGTTGTAAACATGGCAACAAGCACCAGAGAAAGTCGGCGTAGGAAAATCCTTGAAAGAGGATCCGACCGCTTGGCTTTTATTATGGATCAAGTCCAAGGTCTGGATCCTCACTCTTATGACCAAACCGACAGCGACCCTCCTCCGCCGTTGGTTCTCCACGATCAAGATCCACCACCCAACTTCTCATGTCAATCCTCCGCCGCCGCCGCCGGTACTTTATTTCTTCTCCTTTTATCCATTCCAATTTAAATATCTTTTCAAGTGTCGTTTTAGTTTATCATGTCTGGATAATTGGAGGGGTCAATAAAGGATCAATGGAATTACAATGGTGGCAAAAATTTGCATTGGGGAAAGTTAGTCAACGTCTCGTTTCAGATTTAGCTTTTTGGGTTCTTGAAAGCATTGGACTTGCTTGTTGTAAGCGCCATTAAATACCCTTCATTGATGTCACCTAGTAATTGAAATAACGAACAAAAATTCTAAAGATGCTAATACTAATGGTTTCGTTGTTGGATTCCATGTTCTTTTTGACTAATTGTTTTTAGATTTGTGCTGATATGCAGTTTCCCCTTGTGCGCATGATAAAGCCTGTAGTCCTGTGTTGCCAAAACAGGATCCTAGTTTTGATGCTGATCTGAGTCGTACCGGAACTGGTGAGGGATCCATATCGCACAGAGGCAGGACAAGCGTTGAGCCTTCAAAAGACCCTGCCTTGGATGCAAGTGATGAAGCAAACTCATTGCCAGTTCCATTGGATGATCAAAGTTCATTTATTTCTACTTCAGGAGTGGTACAGCGTTCACGGCAACAAAACTTTTTCACTCCTAAGCAAATAAGTTCTGCGATTGATGCATCTGAGAAGACACGCCTTTTATGTTCAGCCATTGTGGCCGTTTTAGTTTTATTGTTACATTTTGGATTTTCTCTTCTAGGAAACAGATTCTTAGGAACCATTATTAGCTTTAGGCCTCTTTACTTCATTTTGTTGACCGATGTAACATTGGTGATCTTGCGACTTCTTTTTGCTGATGGCGGAAGTTCCCAGAGAGCTATTGGAGAAGTTAATAAAGCGGCTTCTACAGATGACTATAGTTGGGCTGAGCAATTAAGCAATACTTTGGAGGTAGGATTGGTAGCACAGAAGGTGATTGATGCAGTGTTCATGGATTGCAGTGTATATGCAATAATTGTCATATGTGGCCTCTCCTTCACATAGCAATTCAGCAAGCATATTTCTGTTGATTAGTTTCAGGATACGTTAGGGTCTTATGTTGTATGTTTTGGCTCCCCACTGAACTTTCCAAGTTGAATAGATATTCTTTCGGGTACTTGCGAGTTATTTTTTGTATTTCAAACTATCTTCAATGAAGTGTATTGGTTTGCATTTTTGTAATTCTCACACTGCAGGACCTTAATTAATTTACCAGATGCTAGGAATCGGAAATCCTGCTGTAAGATAAGCTCTTGTTCTATTATCATATGCTTTAATCATATCCTTTGTTTGCCCCACCGCAAATGAACAGACATCCATTTCCTCTAGATCAAGGGGTTTTAGGTTCATACAGGTATCACGGACTCAAGGAAGAGTCTTGAATCCCACATCGAACATAATAGGAGGGTCACTGGGGTATAAAAGGGTTTACACCACCTCCGCCTTGTGAGACACCTTTTGTAGGACAAAACCGTGAGGTCAGGGGGCCAGAGTGGACAATACCTCACAAGGGTGTGAACCGTGACGGTCAGGCTGATTCGAGATGCCGGAAGGGTGAATGCTCGGGTCCCGAAGCCGCACGGGTTCGGAGCTTGAATCTTGACCGGTGACAAGTGGTATAGAGCCAGTCCTATACCGTTCGATCCACGCCAAGCGCCTCGAGGGAGATAGGCAGGATGGCCAGCCTCCGTGACGAGGGCGTCACGGAGGCTGGGTGCGAGAGAATGTCACGGACCTAAGGAAGAGTTCTGAATCTCACATCGAACATAATAGGAGGGTCACTGGGGTATAAAATGGTTCACACCACCTCTGTCATGAGGGTCACTGGGGTATAAGGCTGGGTGCGGGAGAATGTCACGGACTTAAGGAAGAGTTCTGAATCTCACATCGAACATAATAGGAGGGTCACTGGGGTATAAAATGGTTTACACCACCTCTGTCAGGAGGGTCACTGGGGTATAAAATGGTTCACACCACCTCTGTCACACCACCTCTGTCTTGTGAGGCGTCTTTTGTAGGACAAAACTGTGAGGCCAGAGGGGACAATACCTCATAAGGGTGTGAACCGTGACGGTCAGACTGATTCGGAACGTCGAAAGGATGAATGTTCGAGTCTCGGAGTCGCACGGGTTCGGAGCTTAAGTCTAGACCCGTGACACAATTACTTTGAAAATGGGATTGGTCTTGACTTGATATTGAGCAATGATCTTATAGATATTTATGCAAAATGTGGTGAAACGGACAGGGCTTGCATTGTCTGATAGAATGATTGAGAGAAATGTGGTTTCTTGGACAGTGCTCATATGTGACAAAATGGTAACGCCAGAGAAACATCGTCACTTTTCTGTCAAATGGTATCTTCATTTGTTTAACCATATCAGTGTACTTTTTCCACGAATTTTAAAGCTTGTGGGATTTTGAATGTTCCTAAGATTGGAATACAGTAAGTTTGTATTATTTGGTTTTGAAAGTGTCCGTCTGGTGGGAAATTCAGTAGTTGATATGTATTCAAAATGTGGAAGTATCAACGAAGCAGTAACGATGCTTGGTTCCATAGAATGCAAGAAAATGGAGAGATCCCAGATGAGTACACATTAAAAACCATGTTGAAAGCTTGTAGTCGTCTTGGTAAGATTGGGGAAGGATCAGTAATTCATGGTTTTTTATCACTAGTGGATTTTCATGTTCAGGTAAGGCAATTATTGCAGGTTCTCTTATTGATTTGTATGTGAAATGTGGGAACTTGATTAAGGCTCGAGGGCTGTTTAATCTGATTGGAAAGAAGAATGTGGCATCTTGGAGAGCATTGATTCTGGGATATGCTCAAGAAGAGAAATTGGCAAAGGCTATCGAGTTGTTCAGGCAGCTTAAAAATAGCAGCATGCAAGTGGATGGGTCTGTTTTGTCAATTATGATAGGCGTGTTTGCTGATTTTGCACTTGTGGAGCAAGGCAAGCAAATGCATATGTCACGGGCTTCGACCTTAGACTCAGAAACCGTGCGGTCTTAGGTTTGGAATCTCCTCCTTTATGCTTAAGTCAACCTAAACACAAGCGTGCAGGCACTATAACAATGGGAATGGCTGATTATGCAAGTTAAAGAGAAACAGGATAACAAGACAGAATGCTGAAATATGCTGTATATTCACTGAAATAGAAGTGTTTGATGGTGTACAAATGAGGGTGAAGCATCCCTCTATTTATAGTTGAGGCTCCTGCTACACTTAATGGCACTATCCTTAGAATAAAGGCTAAAATCAAGGGATTATACAGGTTACAATCAATCAGGATTCTAACTCCTGATTTCAAGCATTAACTAAATCTGCCAGGAGGCTCCTGCTGATCCTGAAGCTTTCAGAAGCTTCACTTGCGTATCTAGCACCTTGGGCCCTTCTGGATGTGGTACGGACAGCTTGCATGCCAGGCCTTAGTCTCACGGGCTGGCTTGCAAGCTGGGCGGGCGTTCTGACCTCTTCTCATAGGCCTTGTGCACAAATACCTGCTAGCACGCCTGGTCTGCGGGTCTCAACCTTTGGCTCGTGTGCTGGTGCGCCTGATGTGCCTGACGCGCCCGCTCAGGGCGTGACATTCTCCCTCACCTGATTATGTAACGCCCTCGTTGTGTCTTCTGTATGGTACTGCTTGATTTGGTCCCTGAACTGCCATAAGTCATCTGTTGGTTCCCAGCTCGCCTCACTGTCTGAAAGTCCCTTTCAGCGCATCAAGTACTCTTGTCTTGGTTGATAGTTCTTTCGTCTCACCTCCCGGTCAGCTATGATGCTGTGGACCTCTTTCTCATATGAGACCCTTACTCCCAATAGGGCACGCTTTGACTCTGCTCGTCCTGGATCTCCTTCATCCTCATGGAATGGCTTGAGCATGCTCACATGAAACACTAAGTGTACCTTCAGCTTGGACGGCATATCCAGCTTATAGGCAACCTTGCCTACCCTTTTGACTACTCGAAAAGGTCCCTCATACCTCCAGACTAGGCCTTTGTGCAGCCTCCTGTGAAGCACAATGGGATGCAGCTTCACCAACACCAAGTCTCCAACCTGAAACTGCACGTCCCGCCTATTCTGGTCTGCCCATTTCTTCGACTGCTTTGTCACCTTGTGTAGACAGACTCTGGCCAAGTCAGTTTACTCCTGCCATGCCTTGGCAAACTTGTATGCTGCTGGATTCAACCCTGTATAATTTACAGTAATCGAACCGGGTGTTAGTGGTTGTTGCCCTGTCACAACCTCAAATGGGCTCTAGTTCGTTGCCTCGCTCCTTTGTAAGTTGTAGGAAAACTGTGTAACATCTAGTAGCTTTGGCCAGTCCCTTTGTGTGGCACTCACATAGTGCCTGAGGTAGACCTCCAATAGTCTATCCATACGCTCTGTCTGCCCATCGGTCTGCAGATGCATGCTGGTCGAAAAGTTCAAGTCTGACCCCAACAGCTTGAACAACTCAGTCCAGAACCTGTCTGTGAAACACCCGTCCCAATCACTAACAATGGTCCTCGACACTTCCCGGTACTTAACCATGTTCTTTAAGAACAATCGAGCTACCTCCTCGGTTGGGCACTCCTTGGTTGCTGGAATGAAGATTCCATACTTGAAAAACCTGTCCACCACTACCATGATGCTTTCAAACCCTTCTGCTTTGGGTAGACCGACTATAAAGTCTAGAGAAACACTCTCCATGGTCGCTTTGGCACTGGTAATGGCTTCAAGAGACCGCCTGGTTTCTTGAGCTCCACTTTGTCCTGTTGGCACACAAGACAAGTCTTCACATAGACCTCCACATCGTCCCTTATGTGTGACTAATAGTATCGATCCTCGATCAGCGCCAAGGTACAGCTCACTCCGGGGTATCCAGCCTACCTTGAATCATGGCATTCTTACAAAACTTCCTTGTGGAGCTTTTCCGTGCTGCGACATAAACAGTCTACTGCCCTAGTGTACAATAAACCATCCTGCATCCAAAACTGCCTAGTCTTACCTTGCTGGGCGTACTCTATAAGAGCCTTGGCTGTAGGATCATGCACAAGTCCCTCCTAGTTGGTTAATGGCAACAAGGTTAGCCTTCTTGCTCAGGGCATCTGCCACTAGGTTCGCCCGTCTCAGCTTGTACTCCATCTGAAAGTCAAATTTTGTAAGAAAATCTTGCCATCTCATCTGCTTGGGGGATAGCTTTTTTTGCGTTTGAAAGTAGCTAGTCGCCACATTGTCTGTCCTAACCACGAACCCCGACCCCAACAGGTAATGGCACTAAATGCACAAGTAATGCACCACTACAGTCATCTTTTTTTATTGGACCATATACTTACGTTCAGTTTTATTCAGCTTTCTGCTCTTGAACGTGACTGGACGTCCTTCCTGCATCAACACATCCCTTATGGCAAAGTATGATGCATCTGTATACACCTCATACGACTTGGCATGGTCTGGCAAGGCCAAGACTGGCTCTTTGGTCACAGCCTACTTCAACCTGTCAAAGGCTTCCTAGCACCCTGCGCTCTACTCCCATGCTCTCTCTTTCTTGAGCAAGTCAGTCAATGGCATAGCTATTGCTGAGTGACCTTTGATGAAGCACCTGTAGTAGTTGACTAGCCCAAGGAATGATCTCAACTCAATGACCTTGGCTGACGGTTGCCACTCCAGGATGGAGTGCACTTTGCCTTCATCCATGTGTATCCTGTCACCTCCCACTATGTGGCCTAGAAACGGGATCTCCTGCTGGGTGAATGAGCATTTCTCCTTATTGACAAACAGCTTGTGCGCCCGTAACACCTCGAATACCTGTTTCAAGTGGTTTGCATGCTCTCTCAAAGTCTGACTGTAGATCACAATGTCATCCAAATAAATCACAACAAATCGATCAAGGAACGACTGAAGTACCTTGTTCATAAGGGTGCAGAATGTTACTGGGGCGTTCGTGAGTCGAAAAGGTATCACTAAGAACTCATACGAACTATACCGAGTGACACATGCTATTTTTGGCTTATATCCCTCTACGATCCTGATTTGGTAGTAGCCCGACCTCAAATCCAACTTGGTGAACCACCTTACGCTCCAAGTTGATCGAACAAGTCCGTAATAAGTGGGATAGGATACTTGTTCTTGATGGTCAGCTTGTTCAAAGCTCGATAGTCTATGCACAACCGTAACGACCCATCATGCTTGTGCTGGATTAGAATCGATGCATCATATGGTGCCTTCGATGGCCTGATGAAGTCAGCATTAACTAACTCTTTGAGCTGCTTCTTCAACTTTTCCAACTCTGATGGGAACATTCGGTAAGGAGCTCTAGCTGGTGGCTTAACCTCGGACACCAGCTCGATCTTATGGTCCACCTCTCTCTTAGGTGGTAACTAGCTAGGTAGCTTTGTGGGTATCACATCACTAAAGGTCTTCAGCATCTTTAGCATCTCCAAGGGTGATTTGATCTCCTTCTCTCTTGGCTCATCATATTTCAGGACTACTAAGAAGGTGCCTTCTTCTCTGCTTATCATTTTGGTAAATAAGATGGCTGACACCACCCGTAACCCAACTCCAGACCCATTTCTCAATGGCACTAGGCATTGGCACCGTGCATCCAAGATGCAAACACAATCGATAAAAGGCACAATGAGGGCGTTAATCCGAATAAAGAAATCCAACCCAATCACAAACTCATAGTCATAAAGGGGTATTACTTTTATGGTCTCCTTGCCTTTCCAGTCTCCAAGCTACAACTTCACTCCCCGTGCTACTCTAATGGTTGAAACCTTCTTAGAGTTCACTGTTTTAATGGTACCAGTCCCTTTCTGCACCTTTAGTCTGAGCTTCTGGGCTCCATCTCCTGAAATAAAAAGATGTGAGGCACATGTGTCTACTAGTGTGCTCACCTTCTGACCCGTAACCATCAGATTCATAAATATCAAGCCCTTTGGCTTACGGTACCCCTTACTCTGGATAACATTGAGTACCAGTGACCCAAGCTTTACTGCTCCTGACTCTGGCTCATCGTCAGACTCCTTGTCTACAACAGTCATCTTACCTTTCTGCGAGCAATTGCACGCTATGTGGCTCCCTCCACATAGGTAGCATGCTAGTGGCTCTCGGTCCCTCTTTGCTTTCCATTTACCTGCTAGTGGTTTCCTCTCGCCATCCTTGGTTGAACGGTTTCGGTCTCCATCTTTGGACTCCCGATCATGGTCCTTCCCTTTGGACTGCTTCTTTCGATCCCTATCGTCCCTATCCTTACCCTTAGGCTTAGAAGACTCGAACTTGTTCAGAGGCTTGAACTCTATCAAGGCCTCAACAGCAGTCATAGCTTTAGCCAAGTCATGAACTCCCCTCCGTTGTAGCTCATGCTTCACCTACGGCTTCAGCCCATCCATGAAAGCAAATAAGGCATCCTTTTCACCTAGATTCAAGATCTGTAGCATCAGTTCAGAGAATTTTTAGACATACTCTTTTATGTCCCCTTGCTGGCTCAGCCTGCGTAACTTTACCTGCACCTCATCATCGACATACTCCGGGTAAAATTACTCTCTGAACTCTTTTTGGAACTCTGCCCAGGTTTCAATCTTGGAGCTCTCACGCCTGACATCATCACACCTGTGCCTTCACCACAATAAGGCTACATCAGTGAGATACATAGCAGCAGTGCTTACCTTTATCACCTCGTCTTGCATGCCCATGACCTGAAAATACTGCTCCATACCTCATAGGTAGTTGTCTACTTCTTTGGCCGCCCTAGTCCCCTTGAACTCCTTAGGTTTAGGGACATCCAATCTGGATTTGGACACTCCAATAAACATGCCATTCCCAATGGCAGTTTTGCAAGCAACGAGCTCACTGGTAAGCTCCTCCATCCGTGGGCGCATGGCCTCCATGCCATCTCGCAAGGTCAGCACTTCAGCCTTCAAGGCCTCATTCTTTTGGGTGATCACGTCTATGCTTTTGTTGAGAGTAGCTTGTAGCTTACCTTGGATCTCCTCCCCCATGAAGTCTAGCGATGTAATATGAGTCTCTACTTCATCAAGCTTCTCCCCCATGTCGCCCATGGTCACCTCCACCTTGGCCAGCCTACCGTCCATGGTAGACCAGATATCTCTTGAACTGGCTTTCCAACCTCTTCCACGCCCCTGCTCCTGGGCCTCTGGTTATTGGTTAGCAGCGTCACTTTGGGATGCCATCTCCTCAATCACGATCTAACCTGCATAACACAAACACGCAAAATCGAACTTGCTTTGATACTAACTGTCACGAGCTCCGACCTTAGACTCGAAAATCATGTGGCCTTAGACTTGGAATCTCCTCCGTTATGCCTAAGTCAGCCTAAAACGCTAAAACACAAGCGTGCAGGCACTAGAACAATAGGAAGGGCTAATTACGCAAGTTAAAGAGAAACAAGATAACAAGACAGAATGCTGGAATATGCTGTATATTCACTAAAACAAAAGTGTTTGATGGTGTATAAATGAGGGTGGAGCATCCCTCTATTTATAGTTGAGGCTCCAGCTACACTTAATGGCACTATCCCTAAAATAAAGGCTAAAATCAAGAGATTATATAGATTACAATCAATCAAGATTTTAACTCCTGATTTCAAGGGTCAACCAAATCTACCAGGAGGCTCCTGCTGATCTTGAAACTTCCAGAAGCTTCACTTGCGTATCTAGCATCTTGGGCCTTTCTGGATGTGGTGCGGGCAGCCTGCATACCAGGCCTTAGTCTCACGGGTTGGCCTGCAAGTTGAGCGAACGTTCTAGCCTCATCTCCAAGGTCTTGCGCACAAATACCCGCCAACACGACTGGTCTGCGGGCCTTAACCTCTGACTTGCGTGCCGGTGCGCCTAACGTGCCTGACGTGCCCGCCTAGGGCGTGACACATGCATATATACACTGTTACGATTCCTTCTGGTTCGAGATGCAATTACAATAAAAAATGATTAAAAGATTTAAGTTGAGCTCGTAACTTGCTTAGCTTTTCGAATCATATGCTGAGGAGAAGGTCCTAATACCTTCTCCATCATTTGATTATAATTTTCATTATGGAAATTTGGATGTGCCTGCAAAATCTCTTTCAAACAACGTCGTACTTGCAGCGGTTAAAATTGGTTGAAACTTGAAATTTTGGTACATGCCTAAACCATATCTATATGAGTATCACTATACCCATTAAAAAAAAAATACTAAATGCTCCAAGATTCTCTTTGCTTTTATCATGGTGTCTGACTACTAAATGGGGAGAGGCGGTGAAGACTCTCGATTTCTGAAAAGCCACTTCATCTACTTATGAATAGAGCAAAAAGTAAGCGTAAAAGTTGAAACATTCCAGGATTTTTTCTTTTTGTCTTGTGTTGTTCACTTTGCATTGAGATCATAAACTATGGTAAATTATTTAGTATAACCAAGAGCAAGGTAACTCATCAACAGGAAGAACAAAGACCGGGAAACACTCAAACATGCTTTGAAACTTAGTATTTGGTTTAACAATTTGCTAAAGTTTCACCTTGAAGACCAACAAGTTATCTTGAAAACCGGACGTGAGAACTAGATATTCGAGTGAAGCTTGGAATGCGACAGGAGAACTGCAAATCTTCTTCCTTTCTCTTCTGAATTTCTTCCAATTTGATTCGAGTGATCATCTTTGGCACGTTGTGTGCAACTCAGGCCTAATGTGATGGTTTCTCTGCCTGTGCCGTACTTTGAATTCCCTGGCTAGAAACGAAGAAATTATGACCTTTTTTAAACTCATGGTCTAGACTTAGGTGAGAATGGGATGATGTTTATATATAACATGACTTTTTGATGGAGTATATATTCATAACCCCAAGTACATTTATTGTTCAAGTGATCTTTGAGCATGTGAAAAGCCAATTAGCTTTGCTGATTCAATGGATCGTAGTTCTCTTCTCTGTCGCAAAGTGGCCCAGTAAATTGCTACTTTGAGATGTTGGATTGCAAGAAGTAATCCCATTATTTACATAAGTTTTGTCATTTCCTCATCTTTTTTATATGCCAAATTGTGTCCCTATCCATAAATGGATATAGAGCCAGAATCAAGATTAGTAACCTGACGTCGACCACTTCAACTAACATTCTTGAATACAGAATTATTATGATTTTGACGGTTTGACAGGCCCACCTTTGAAAAAGAAGCATGGCCATGGAGGGTGGAGACATCCTGTTGCCAGGGGCATGACGATTGAGCCATCATTCCTTGCATAATCATGTTTATGAGGCTATTTTCAACACTATTTGGTACTATGGCTTGAACTCAATATGAATCGAATCAATGAAGACTCAAATCCATTACCAAATTAATCATTCACCATTTCTAAGTGAATTAAAAAGTTGGAAGGTTCAATCATCATGCAACCTAGAATCGGGAATTGTAAGATGAGTTTTACCGTATTTCAGTATCCTTCTGAACTTGATAAGTTATGGAAGGGCATGCTCCGGAGTGCACAGAATATTAGTCCTCAATTTGTTTTTTCTGATTGTCACATATCAACCTTCATGAAGAAAAAGGAAGAAAGGAGCATAACGCCACATTCTTTTGCACATAGATAAATAAAAGATTGCTACATTGCATTGCCAAGAACTACTGTATGGCATAGAAACTGCAGTTCGCTGAGATATAGGTTTATAGGAAATTACTAGTAAAACGGAGCTGAGGTCTCTACGAAGGGGCACCATTTGGTTTTTGTGACTGGGTGATGGTCCTCAACTTCTCATAAGCATCAGAGCAAGCATGAGAATAGTCAGACATAGCCCGGAATAGCTCAGGCAGGCGAATTTTAAGACTTCCCAGAGACTTCTCTCTCACTTGAACACAATGTTTTTCATGAGCTTCTTCTTCCTCTTCCAACCTCTTTCTCAAGCTCTCAACCACAAATTTCCTCTCTGAGACAGGATCCTTTGTATTCGCATCTTCACCTCTTTCAGCATCTATTTCATCAGATGCAGATCTCCGTTGCTTATACTTATGATACCATTCCTCGAATGCCTGGTTCTTGCGCAAAAATTCCTTCCTAGTTTCCTCACATTTTTCTTTTAGCTTCATCTCTTCGTCTTGATGAATAATTATGGTTTTTATCACAGCAGCAAATGAAGAGATAGCAGATTTAGCAACCTCATCAGGAAGATTTTCAAGATAATCATGCCATGTATGAAGGAGTGCTTGGATTGGAGGATTCTGCACTGGTGGAGGAGATGAGATTTTCTCTTTCAAGCTGCTTTCAATAGGGATTAGATTCAACTTTAACCAGTTGTTGAGAGCTCGGATGTATTGCTTTTGATGAGTCACAAGCTTATCAAATTGTGAATGCCATTCCTGGACAACATTATGAAGTTGGATGGTGCGCATATTGTGTTGCTTTGTTGTTTCTTTGGAGGCAAGGGCAATGTCAAGATATTTAAGCTTTTCAACAATCTGAAGCTGGCTATCATGATGTATGCACATACTTGCCCACATCTTAGCCATCCTGCAAATTAGATGTCAAATATATGGTCATGATTAAATTCACTTCAAGATTTGCAAATACTCAAGTGGAACAAAGGTACATAATCAAAACCAGCAAAAGCCATTGGTGAATGGGCAATAAGTTGGTTTCTTGATTCAATTCGTATGAGCAACACAAACAATTTATTATAACCTTATGAAGAAAAGATGCAAAATAGAAAGAAAGCATAATCTCTTCATCAAAGGTATTATGCAGTAATATATGGCTTTCTTAATATTTTGGTAGGAAAACTTACCCATCAACAAGCATAACAAGTTTCGGGTACAACTGCTCATCTCGTAGCTGGTTAACTTCTGACACTGTTGAATCCATGGACTGCATGTCAACTATGTAACTCGTGTGTAAATGACTTACAGCCGCTTTTGTTTTCTCCAATGATTCAGCACTAGCTCCACGTTTCTTCTGCTTGTTTAACCAAGCAACCTTCCTTTTGTACTCAAGCTTCATCAGCTCTCCTTGCTACAACATGGACCGAGTTTTGATAAGATTCAGAACGTCAAAACAAGAAAAAGAATAGCTTATCAATATTAATATTAAAATGATTTTTCATTCATGCAAATCATTTAGCAGAAATGAGCTTTGCAATTTATTAACATGGAACTTAATAATGACATGCCCATTATCTACTAATCCAAGTTTACAGAGAAACATATTTGTCAAGGAAGCAATATAGATTGCCATGGCAAGCAGCTGGCCATATAAATTTAAACAGAGATAAACAGATAAACCCAAGATTTAAAATGTACCTTTACTTCATCATAAAGTTTCTTTTCCCATGCTAGCAACTTATCCAGAACAGTGGCATGAGTCTCATACTTTTCTGAATCAAATTCATCCTTCCCATTTTCACCATTTGTCATACCTCTGAAAGACCTATTCCATGTAATGACACGCATTACCATTGCGGAATGATCAATATATCCTACAAGCAACAGGATCACTAATATGATCAATATACTACATTAAAGCATTTGTCATTTTAACTGCTTACAAGACAAAATTATGAGCCAAACTCCATAATGTCTGTAAGCTGGATGGACATATTCTTAAATCTCAAACCAACAGAGAATTGTTTTCTACTTTTAAAGCTAAATACGCATTTTTCTACCGGGAACGAGATTACTATTATCACCCATTCAAATAACACAAGAGTAAAATATTAGTAACTTTAGAATTGTCAACTAGGCACCATTTGATCCCCAAAAAAAATTACCAGCTTATTATTATTATTTTTTTAAAAGAATAAAGTAGAATGATCTATGGTCAAGTCAGATTCTCACAAAAAGCTAAAGGACAACAAGATCTAAATGTAAAGCCACCTTACACCAAAAAGACCATTTAATCGTTCAAAATTACTTTTTTTTTTCCTTTTTCAGATCTAAACAAACTCCAAGCTTCAATCTTTCATAGAAAAGATGTTTGACAAATTCCTGCTTTGATCAAAGGCAAACAATTGGAGAACATCAACCATGAAAAGAACTCAAATTCTCACAGCCAAATTATTAGCAAATTAACAATCATCCAAATAACTTAAGACCAACGTAATACAGAACAAGCAGATTACCTTCATTATCAGCAAAATTGGAATGATAATGCAACCTTGTAGCCTCCAGCATCTTAGAAACCTCCTGAGCACTCTCTGAGGCTCTCAAGAAATGATCATCAATGTTATTCAAAACTTGCATCAAATTCACGCTAGAAACAGCCTTCGCCACTCTCCTGAAATCTGCCGGAGTCGTTTTTGAATGCTCAATCTGAACCTGCTGCTTCCCTTTATCATCAACCTCCACTGCCATCGCCACCACCTCATCTGGCCTCTCCGGCGTCTTCGGATCAATCTCACTATCAACTCCACCGTGGCCGCTAAACCCATAATCACTGACATTGTTCTCTGAAGCATCGACATTTCTATTCTCGGCTTCGTTATTGTTGTCGTCCACATCCAAGCTTCGACCCGGCATGTTATCGTTTAGCATAAAGAAGTAGTCCCAGGCCATATTTTTAGCTTCGGGCATCGGGGGCGGGTGGTTGTTCTCTGGAGTCCTTGGTGGGATCATCTCCTCCCCATGGGACCCTCTTGAATCTTTTCTCAAATCTTCATTATTATTATTATTTTCAACCACCTCGTTTCCTTGAAGATGTTCTTCTATTTCTTCTTCTTCTTCTTCTTCTTCTTCTTCTTCTTCAATAGCGAGGGAAGAATCAAACTCCTTACGAACCTTGATGGGCATTGCAGGCATACTGACGGCGCGTTTGATGGGAGCAACGGGGCTAGGGGAGAAGTTAGGAAGCGGAGGCGGTGGAGGGAGGTTGTCCATCATTGGAGGCGGTGGAGGCCGTTGAGGAGTGGAGTCAAGAGGAGGGATCTGGTGGTGGTGTTCGAGAGGACCTTCATCTTCTCCCTGACCGTAGTCACTCAAGGCGGCCCCAGTGTCCTTCAAGGAAATGGCGTAGCCAGAATGGCCAGCCGCAAAGGCGTTACGAGCTACAACCGCATCTTTCATTAAGGTCTTGCGGTCCTTGCAACGAGCCACCGATTCTTCGTTATCTATTCTGGACTGAGCGCAACCCATTAAAAGCAAACTTTCAGTTTCCACCAGCTCTGATAGTGAACACCGAACGGGGTGCGGTGGTTCGGTTTCTCTTTGGGTTTGGGAACAGGTCAGCGTTAGGGGGGAGAGACAAGGGATGCGGTGGACCATAAAACGAGGGAAAGATACTGCCAAGCTAGTACAGAGAGGTTTGCACAGGGAAGGCAGGGTGCAGCCGAGTAAAAGAGAGAGCAGTGATGCGAGTGGGATATGCGTTTGTACTCGCTCTAACTGAGTACGAGGTGTCATGGTCTCTCTATTTTAAAATTAATTAACGGTCACATTTTTTAAAGCTTTACCACGTCGTTCTTATGCAACCGCCATCCTGTCCTCTTGATGAACGGCTCTCATCAGCGTTCAGTTTTGGATGAATCGGACGGCTTTAAATTGCTCTATTAAGACTCCCACCAGTAATATTTCTTTTTTGGGCCTCTAGTATTAAGTAGAACTAATACACAAAGGAATAATCCAAGCAAACGAATAATAATATAAAATAAAAAATAATAGGATTTAAAATTTTAATAAAATTAATTAAAATATATTTTATATTTTTATATTAAAACAAATTATATTATATAATTTTCATATAAATTTTAACATAAATATATAAATTATTAATATTTTACATAAATATATAAATTACGAGACATAATCACCATGCATTAGGTACTAGGTGAGCTGAAAATAGAAGCAATATTATAGCTTGGGAAGGTTATATTTTTGAAAAAGAAAAAAAAAAGAATGAAACTTAATCTAAAGAAACAAACTAGCGTGGATTGGGCACTTTCCAACAACATGCATCTTGAAAAACCGAGTCTCCAACATTTTTCAAAGAAAAAGACTCACTTTTTGAGCTTCGAAACCACCTGCATCGTGTTAAACCGCACTTCCTTGCTCTCTTTTTTCATAGAAATCGTGGGGTTGTTTCTTAGTCCAAAAGAATCATGGAGGTTGAAATGAACTAATCGACCTTCTACTCAAAAGTGAATGACCACAAAATGCATTAAGGCAAATTCGGCAGTAGGCATGTCAATGTCAAGAAATCACCGACCTAATAAAAGCTACATCCTTTCTTCCTTCCTTCACCATTGACTATAAGTAAAGGGAGTAATGGCTCAAAGTTGTATTTGTTGACAACACCCCCATAGCAACCATTTGGAAACAGTCAATTTTAGTAAGAATCAGTCAGATTATTAATTCTGAAGTTTCCCACTCATAATTTTTGTAGCTTATATTTTTGTTTAATCCCAGCAATGGATGTTTGGCATTTGGAAACACAGCTCAAGAATGGTGTGCAACAGGAGGAAACATAACTAAAGACTAGTAAAATCTATGCTAGCGAAAAAGAAGGCAATACGAATGGATTATATAAATTGCTACTAATCAAAGACATATATATATATATATATATATATAAGGAATTAACCATCATGCTATAACTGAACCGCAAAACATAATTACATCTGCTCTTTACAAAAGTTACCTAATTACCTCCGAAAGGATCTCAATATTCATACACCATCTATTTCAGCAACGCATCACCTGGTTGAAGAGCTTCTGAGAACACAGTTGGAATCAAGTTTCCATCAGCTTGACCACTGGGAAATATTTTTCAGAAAATGTTACAAGTATAAAGGATCTCAATTAAAAAAAAAAAGATTAACATGTAATAAACTTGAGTAACAGAACCAGTAACTTGAGTAACAGAACCAGTATCAAGAGATTCCCATTGAAGGTTTCAGGTTTCCAACCGAAGAAAACCAATTCACATGCAGCACCAGATTGACTATGGACTAACTAAAACAAGAAAATAATGGCAAAAAGTGGAGGAAAGGAATAGTCATAGAGATCATACCTTCAAATCAGATGGTCTGAACAAAAACTCCGCATTGGTGGTTTGCTTCACAAGAACTTCCTGCATAGAAAATTAGCAACAATATGCTTACAACTGAAGTGGGTAGTAAATTGTTTTGGAAGTACTTACCAAAGTTAGGGGACGCATAAAATTATTAATGCTCATTTGCGCTTAAGTTCGCCTTCAGTTTTTCCAGCTCTTTCCCTTGTCCCTAAAAATTCCAAAACACCCAGTCAAATACAAATCAATTAAAAGGCAGATACACAAATAAAAAGACGGAAATTCAAAACCTCATGTAATTTTTGCCAGAACTGATCGGATCTTTCCATCAGCAAGCACCATCGCATGGCCATATCATATTCAAGTGTGTTAGACTGGGAAGAATGTGAAGTAGATACCGCTTCTTTCTGAAAAATAGGAACACCCAGGGACCAATTAAAAGAAATAGAAAAGGAAAAAGAAATAAAAAATTAATAAGTCAGATTTAGTACATCCATGTGGCAGCGGGTGTATGTAATCAAGCAAACATGCTGTAACATCAAAAACACACCTACAACCTGAGAGAGAGAGGAAAAATAGGCACCATCTTCCGTTGAGGTTGAGTTTATCAGCAATGAGATGGCCTGCAAATGTTGACTGCTTCTTAGACAGCAAGGATTTGGCATGCTGGCAACAAGTGGCCTACACAACAAGAAATAGAGCTAAATAAAAGCAAATAAGGAGTATCCTTACTGCTCTTGTCAAGCATCCATACCTCCGATTTGGTAGCAACAAGCATCCCTCATCCAATTTTGTAATAACCTCCTCTGCTACTTCACTTGTTTTGAATATAGCAAAAGCTTGATCTGCAACATGAACAAACCAATTTCCTAAAATGAATAATGTATCAATTGCATGCTATATTTGAGGGGAACAAAACAGGTTGCTTTTACGTCTAAATAAGGTTTTAAATATTGGTATTTTGATAAACTAGGATAGGAAGCATAAACAAGGACAAAGCACATGAAGATGATATGACACAGACATGACAACATAGTAATTTTAAAAAATCACTTGAAGCAAAGCCATCACTACAACACTCAGGCCAGCCTAAATCCTCTCCCTCTTCTGATATATCTTTTTTGATATCTCAAAAGAAATGACTATGCATCACTAACTTTTTTCTTGTCTTAATGAGGAAAAATCAGAGTTCTATACCAGGATCATCAAAATATCAGATGATTTACCTAAAAATTTTGGCTACTTTTGATTTCATGCTTCAGATAATCCAAGGTGTTACTTTTCGATAGTTCCCAGGGGAGGAAAACTGTTTTCTAACACTTAATCTGTTAATCAAATCATCAAAGTCGCATATAGGATACTTTTATACCAGAATGAGGCCTAGAATATGCAGTCTGCTGCACCATCTTTGCTCTGCAAGTATCCTTGAAGACATTGCAAACTATATCCTGAAATATAAAACTAAATTCTTCATATGGAAGCAAAAAGAAGAAGAAAAGTATGAAGCAAAAGGTAGGGAGAGGAAAAGAGAAAGAAAACAGAAATCTATGCATGGAAATACGAAACGCTACAAACACAATAACATCACTGTGATTCAAAATAGATACTACCTCCACATCCGCTGAAGTGTAATCTGGATCCAAATTTTGAAACAGGACAAGTGTTCCATGCTCATGCTCATGTGCATGTGCATCCTGCATACTTCTTTCCCAAGGCTGAAACAATATTGAGGCAGTTTATAGATCAGTTAAAGATTGCTGTCCAATTTTCCCGAGCATGATAACATTCAAAGTAGAATGCTGAAACTAATTTAAAGAATCGCAGGAGTGTCAGAGGAGTCTTACAAGTTCTGCAAACCATTTGCTCCTATCCTGTAGGAAAGCATAAACAATAAAATGTAAGAACTAAAAAGAATCTCATCTTCTCAAGAATTTTCACATCATGCTGAACTACACTGGGGTAACCGGAGTAGTAAGTACATCCACAAAGGCAGGGAAAGCAGAAACTTGCAAGCACGATACCGTCCAGGACACAACAAGGATGACTCGACTAAAACTTATTCATCAAGAAAAGGGATTTGAGTAAAAGCAAGAACCACCAAGGTAGCAAAAACATTCACATGAGATCACAGTATTCTTTCATTTAAATTTTTAAAGAAATTAAAATTCTAGGGCCAGCGATTTTATTTTAAAAAGAAAACTGGATCAATTCAGGAGGAGGAAAACTCGAGGCCTCGATGTGAGTGGAACGAACAAAAGATAGGTTTTATAAGATTTATCCATCATCTATATAATAATACCAGAAGTACGATAAAAATATTACTTCAAAACAACAGAATTTCAAAATTAAGATATTTGAGTAATGACTGTTAAAATGAAATTGATCAGGAAAAATGGAAAGAATTTGAAAGGGGAAGGCAACCCCAAAATATCACTTACAGAATCAGGCCTACTGGTAACTTCCAGTGCTTTAGCACCAGTTTTTATGCCATCATTTGGAGGCCATGCAGGAGATTCTTTGGGCAACTTGCAATTTGTAGATTTTGTGAGTTTATCATCAATTTCAGCGTCTTGGAAGAGTTTTTGGCTGTCCCAAGAAGATCTGTATCACTTCTTGATTCATCTTCAGAAGCGGTGATATGTGGCACTAAGGGCTTTGATTTATTTCCATCAGAAGAACAGTTAGGCTTAAGGACATTACTGTTGTTCTTGTCATTGGAGACTTTCACAAAACTATCAAGCTTTGCTTTCTTAAGTGGCCTCTCATCTAACTCACTTAATCCTTAATGGATTTTAATTTTTCATCAACTTTGACTTGGTTGACAAAAGACTTACCAACGCTACCTGTCTTCTCATCAGAAGTGTTTTCCTGTTTAACTAATGACACTTTTTAAGTCTGCATTTCCTTTAAATTTATGGCCTTAACCAATCTTATCACCGGAAGTATTTTCCTTGAAAATCCCAAGGTGGAGATTTCTCATAAACCATGGTAGTAGGAGCATAAAACTAATACAGTACCTTCTTTTTCTTAGTAAAAAAATGATTAAGAAAAGGGAAAAGGGATCCTTGGGTATTAAGCACTCACCAGGATCTAGAATAACTTTTGACAGCTTTTGGCATTGGAGTATTTGGTATTACATGGTTCCAGTACTGCTCAGGTTATAAAGCAGCATGGCTAGCCACAACCACAACCTGCAACAACAAAAGTTACAGGTAAAATTCATTTGTCTTTGCAATCAACAATAAGTAATCACATTCAAATCCACTACAAATAGAAAAAAATTACAGCTAGAAAAGCAAGAACCAGGAATAGATGAAACTCCATCTAGAACCGAGTGTTTATGCTGTATATAGAAAGAAAGAGCAAGATAAAGGGAACGAGACTCTGAAAGTCAGGGTTGCAATGCATGGACACTTCACTTGCATGCT